TGCCATCACCAGCAGGGCAAAGAGGCGACCTCAAGCGGTCGAAGAGATGCTTCGAGGAACCGCGAAGAACCTTCGAGCCGCGACGAATCATCGAAGAGCCAGAGGAAGAAGAGCCGCGACGAGACAAAGAAGAATCAGAACTCTGACCGCTCTCCTGGGAAGGAGAACAGCGACCCGCGCCCGGAGCGCGAGGGGTCATCGGGTCGACACGTGGAGGCCCAGGTGGTGCTGCGGAAGCCGGGGGACGTGGCACCGACCGATAGGAGGAAGAAGAAGAGCGGGACGGCTGCCGACATACAGGACGGCATCTTCAGCAGCAACGTAAGCCGGGGAGATGATGGGGACTGTAGAGATAGGGAGAGGGAGGGGGAGGGAGAAAAAGACAGAAAGGGTGCTTTGGGAGCATTTCAACCTGGAACGTAGTGAGTGAAGGTTAGCCACTTCGGTTGACTGGGTCTGGTCTAAAGTGGAATAGTGACTTAGGAAGGAAGTTATTGTTCGCGGGCTGCACTATTTTGGTTGTTCTTCCAGCTCATTGTCACAGTCTCTTCACCCGAATTGTTTGGACTCTCGTTAGCTAGCGGCTCGCCCCGTGTCATCTCTGTGCCACTGTGCCGACTGTTCTCCGTCGTCACAAATCCCGTTGGCGCGTCTTTTCACGGCCCTCACCGCGCCATTTGGTCGCCGCAGTCGGGTACCACGCGTATACAGACCGAGACGGAGCGTTCACACGTCTACCGTTAGCGATCGCGGAAAACCTGCCACAGGTAACCGCAAGATGCATTCCGAGGCTGAGTGTCTGGTTGAGAACAGTGCATGGCCTGTTTTCACTCTTTTGGGAGCGGTGGCTGAAGTCTCACTCTTGGCTATTCCCAAAGTGGAACGAGACCTACGAAAGGTCTAAATAGGCTCATTAATTTCTCGAGTCAAATAAGCGCCAAATATGTTTTGGCATGATTTGCCCCCTAGCCTTTCAACCCACTCGGAATTAACTAGTTAGGTGTATTGTTCTCATCAACTTGCTGTTTTCCTCTATCCCTGCGGCTTCACGGCAGGTTAGCCCACCATCCTCGCGCCCATGTCACCTATCAGCTCAACCCCGCCGGCACCGCTGCACCGTCGCACGTCTCGCCACATCTACCGTTACGGTCGCAGCGCGGCGCGGTCGGCGGCGGCGGCGGAGCCTCCAGACATCGGCCGTGTGTGGGTCGGTTCGGCCACAGTACGAATCCGTTACTCCGAGACCATGTCGGCTTGCTCGGTTTGGCTTGGTGCGGCTGGGTTAACTCGGCGCGAGCGGCACGATTCCAGCTGGGTAATGACTGCGGCGGCGATGATAATGACGCTTCTTCCCGGCTTTGAAGGAATATGTGGTGCAGTCAGCAAGACGGTTCGCAGTAGGTCAGCAGTGCGCATCCTTGTTACTCACACCTGCATCTGTGCATCACTTAGTTCTGAGTCTGATACTTCAGAAGCGCATGGGAAGGTAACATCTGTCGAGCTATTAATCTCTCCAACAGGCAACACCTGTGGTTTAACCGGTGACGGTTGCCTGATGTCACCTATGGCGTCACTGGCGGTTGATGATGTCACCAGATAACGCTGACTCACTGGCTGCAAATCACCTTTCTGGGCTGCATTGTGTTGTTTTGGTGGTGCTGGAGTGAGAGAGGGAGAGGTTCTTGGGTCGCTGTGAATCACTTTCGGACGAAATCTTATCGGAGTGATTCTGTAGGGGCAGACCTGTGTTGCCTTCCGATTCGGGTCTGGCTGAAGATGGTCACAACGTAGTTGACATTCAATCGATATGATCTGAGGAATGCTACCGCACCACCATTGTTTTACATTTTCCCATTTGATCAACTGTCACGTCTATTATCCGCGCTAATTGTCTAACACTTAATCATTTTCCTCTGTACTTCTCATTTACATATTTCAAGTCGCAGCTCAATTAGCGAAGCCACTGAACACCTGTTGGGCGGCGCGGAAGGATACTTACCGTTCCCACAGCGATTTTGCCCTGTCAAACTCTGCCAACGAACAGGAACCGACAGCCTTTACAGTCTATGTGCATATACTGACAGACGGTCTCACACAAGGTCCTGTATTAGGCGCCACATTTTCCGGCAGGTAATGAGAATTATCACTACCGTGGTAGTTATTGCGTGGCCAGATACTTGTATTCGATTTTCCAGGCTTGAGCCTGTCCGTCTAAGCTTCCATTTCTTAAACAGGTGCCTGAAAGCTGCTCTGTGAACTCTCGACACCACGTGTCTGATGCGACCTAATCTGCATATAACAGACTAGAAAGTTGTTGTGCTCGTTATCTCTGTTATTGATTGAAGCGAGTGTTCAGCTCTAAATGTGTCTACTTTGCGGACTACCTTGCCCGAGGCAAATAATCGTAATTGGATGTTCACTGGATTTCCAGCTTACGTAATGCCCATCTAAATTCGTAAGGCAAACACTGTCTAAGACGAAGAATAGGAGAAATACAGCTAAAATATGTGAAGAATGACAAAAATAGATGTGTCATTCTAGGCACATGGCTTTGACGCACCAGACAACTGTAACAAAAGATACTGGATGATGTCTGTCTATTTATACCGATATCTCCGCTCTAAAAGTAAGCCCAGGCGTACAGGGAGACAGAACATGCCATTGTAAGAAAGATGCGGGATTAAGTACACTAAAAGGCACCGTTTTGTTTCCGAACTAGGAATACCTAGAATGTAGACATAGAAAGATGTTATCGACCAAATCGGGTCGCTGTGAGATAAGTGCTCGTTGGACCTCGTTTTACCGGTGTTCATCGTGGTCGCTATAGTGTGCCACATTCGGACTGCTGGCTATGCCTGGGTGCACCGAAACGTTCAGCCTCCTTTCAGCCGAGTGGGACCGCCGACATTGATAGTAATAACAAAAGGAATCGCTGGACCCGATCGTGTCATGATCCCGTTTATTTGAGAGGGCTTTGTGGGTAGATCAGGCTCCATACTCGTACACTAAAACCTGATAAAGTGGGCCGTTGGAAAAAGTAGACTAAATGATTTCTTTCTCATTTTTTTTTTTTTTTGCTGTTAGTTGCATAGCGCTGTGACGAGAATGGTTCGTCATACAGATGAATATATCATCACATGTGAATTATGAATTATGAGATAAGAAATGAGATTTTAACATCAAACATGACAAGTGACAACTCAATTCGCCTGAATTACGCCAAGTCATCCTGTGCCTGATTCCATGCTATACTGATTGTTCCGAATGCCGGCTCTGAAAGCCGGATGTCTACTCGCTTCAGCAGTTGTACCTATGCGTGAATTGTACGGCTGCCTGCGCACAGTGGTACGATTTCTCAACGATGATAGTCAAAATCTCCGCGGCCTGCGCTCAGACGCAGCTGGAAGAATGATGACACGAAACATGAATGGAATGAAACTCGTCGCGCACAGACATTAGCGTGACTTTTCTGCGTTTGGTTTTTGCTGGTCACGTCTCGAAGAGCTGGAGTTAGAAAATTCGAGGGCGGAAAAACGGAAAATTAGCGCTGGTTTTCATGGTTTCTATTTTATGTGGGTTTCAATAAACCACTGCAGCTCACGAGATCTATCCTCGCTACCTTGGATAATGAATTCCATGGGATTTTCACTTTACCAAACGCAAGTCATTAGAGCGCGCTGGTGCGATTAAGAAACACTTAGTCGTCGTATTATATACGGGCGAGAGCGTCGTTTCGTTTTATTGTTGAGTTAATCTAATTAGTGCACTGAGTGTGTGGGGGAAAGCGGAAGACTTGCGTAACATTTAGAGTGATACGCTCTCTAGCCGACCTAAGGATGGCCTAGTCGTGCGCAAAGCCTCAGGACAGTGCTGGATAGTAGGTATTTTAGAGGAACGCCAGCAAATAATGACGTTAATAACAGAATATTCTGAATTAGGTACTCACAGACTGCTGCTCTTGCGAAAGCTGGAGTGAGGGTCGCACCGCTCTAACGAAAGCGGTTTATGATATTCGTTCTGCTTCACCTGCTTCACTCACAGAGAAAGCCAAATGCTCAGAGCTACTCCGGGCAGGTTTGATGACGGCATATATCGCTCGAATAATTACAGCTCTTGCATCTGGTCTCGCTAGGGCCATTTGCAATACAATGAAACATTTTCTATAAAGTTGTCTCGTAAAACATTGAACGTCATTGGCGCAAAATCATATCGAGAACAGATATCATCATTCGGCACCGACCACTTCGCCTTTATGCGTCCCTCATACCAAGGAAGGGTGCCGATGGCTAGTACAGTTACAACGCCTCTGTAACACAACAATCACCTTCCTGCTGGGCAGTTGAACCAACACTAGCCCCTTGCTCATGGTCTCCCGTACTAGGATCTGCTAGACCAGCACTGCCACTGACCACGTCTTCTTTTCTCTGGTTCCATACTAAGAGTTGCTTACCTCACACTGACCTCTCCCTATTCTGTTTCCCCATACTGAGAGCGTCTGACCCCTCATTGACCTCTCCCCCTCTCTCTGTTTCCCCATACTGAGAGCTGTTGACCCCACACTGACCTCTTCCCCTCTTTCTGTTTCCCCATACTGAGAGCTGTTGACCCCACACTGACCTCTCCCCCTCTCTCTATTTCCCCATACTGAGAGCTACTGACCCCACACTGACCTCTCCCCCCTTCTCTCTCTCTCTCTCTCTCTCTCTCTCTCTCTCTCTCTCTCTCTCTCTCTCTCTCTCTCTCTCCTCTCTCTCTCTCTCTCTCTCTCTCTCTCTCTCTCTCTCCTCTCTCTCTCTCGCTCTCTCTCTCTGTCTCTCTCTCTCTGTCTCTCTCTCTCTCTCTCTCTCTCTCTCTCTCTCTCTCTCTCTCTCTCTCTCTCTCTCTCTCTTTCCCCATACTGAGAGCTGTTGACCCCACACTGACCTCCCCCTCTCTCTCTGTTCCGCACACGGAGAGCTGTTGACCCCACACTGACCTCCCCCTCTCTCTGTGTTCCGCAGACGGAGGGCGGCGGCGGCGCGGGCGGCGCCGGGCGACCTCGGTTCATCCCCGTCACCTCTCTGGAGGACGTACAGGCCATCCGCTGTGCAGAGTTCCACCCGTACGGAAAACTGTACGCGGTAGGATCCAACTCGAAAACGCTGCGCATCTGCTCTTACCCCAAACTCAACGACCTCAGGTGAGTTAGGGAGTGAGAGTGAGTTGGTGGGAGTTTAGAGATGTTAGGACAGTGTGGGAGGGTTCAGGACATGTCCTAAGCTCGCTGCTATGGGGTCAGTGAGGGAGGCATCACGACAGGCTACCTCATTTCACGACGGGTTTACGACCTTATGTGAATTGAGGAAGAGTCTGCCACTCGGCTCGTCGTGGTATATGATTTATCAATTCCTTCAGGAACAAATTAAACTTGTGCTCTGTCTGGTATTTGATCAGTTAGAAGCTCAGCTGATGTACATACCTCAGCTGATAACATAGAAGCTCAGCTGATAATTCATACTTTGGCAGAAACGAAAAGGCTACTCATTTTCATTCAATGCGTTTTGAGTAGTTGCCTTGGCAATGGTATGAACCGAGAATAAAAGTTGAATGCTTCTGCTAAGGCAATTTGAGGCCTCCCATAGATTCGGATCAGGTCAGCGTTAACATAATTTGTGGGCCATTATCAGGCGGATAATATTTTCCAGCGTATTATTCAAACATTGGCGCAGGGCTATAGCTGGAGCTCAGGTCTTACCTTGTACTCTCGCTAACACTTAGCCTGTCATGAAATAATTCATTTACCGCGATTAAATAATTTGGCGCCGTGTAGTTTCCTCGGCACCCTAAGCCGATTATGAAGGCGCTATGTTTGAAGCTGACAGCTTATCTCGATATACGCTCACGCCTGAGCCGTTGCCGCAGATTAATGTTCGATTAATAGGCCGTTAATAGAGCGTGTTTAATGGTTGGCAGACCAGCTTGGGGCTGCATGCTGACTCATGTTGAACCAAGGCGATTGGGTGAGGAAGACGGTGCCTTATCGGGTCTTCACATTTCGCTGGAACGTATTTGATCGCGTAATTCAGGTTAGCTAGTTCGCTAGGCGCGAAATTGGGGCTAAAGTGTGGTTAAGCTGCAGTTTATTTCTCCTGTGTAAAAAGGGAAACTTGCACCTGTTTTAAGCTGACAAGAGTATACTTACCTACCAACCCACCACGTTTTACGCAAACAGCCGCCTCTTCATGCGAAGGCTTATTATTTATGTTGCGTTCAATTCGACAGGGCCATAAAAGTAAACGGTTGCTATATGTACTACGAAATTTCCGGCGCTAATTCGCAACAATCGATTTACGTAGAAACAACAGCGCGTTGCATTCGTCTCCGTCTGTGTGCGCCGCTGACGTCACAGCGCCACGAATGCCGCCGACAGCTCCGACGCCAAATATGGCGCGGTGTGTTCTCCAGCGTGGATACGCGTTTATACGCCCGGCGCGGTGTGGTTCGCGTGGATCGAGTGGTGGGGGTGGGGGCTGTCTTATATGGGAATAGCGTGTCAGTTGTGGTGTGGCTGCTTGTCCGATAGCTGCCTAAGTTTGGTGGACTCATACTGAGGGCACGCAATATGTTGTGTAACGTATTTTTGGCGGCTTGAATGGGTCTCATCGCTTTAAACATGCCCGGTAAAACATTTAAACATTTAAACAACCTGGTATTTTTCCAGTATGATGCGGTAGAACGCTGCTCTTCTTTCATAAGATTGTAGTGCTGTCTGTGTTGGTATGTGTGGGCACTCGTATATGGTGATAGTCTCTCGTTCTCGAACGGAGTTTCTGAAATGTTCTGAAACAGGCGGACTCAAATCACAAATGTGACCCTTCATTCACCGTTTTAAAATATAGCTGCTATCAATCATCCATAAAATGATGCATCGCAAAATACAAGCTTCAATTTTCCATATTTAGTCACCATTTTCGTCCCTATTACGCCACTGTGCGGTCGAAGAATCCACCAGTAGACGTTGGCTCTGCCACTGTCCAGACCGTATCCCTCTTCCTCTAATGTTGTTCGCATAATCCGGTCGGTAGCATAACGCGTGATACTACAGATAGCTCCGCGATTTCACGATACCGGGCTCTAGATGTCAAAACACGCCAAATCACCAAGGCGAGGCGGTACGGTTGCAGCGACTGGCTACGGACGAGTAGGCGCGGTGGGCGGGTCCGATAGACGTATGATGGGGCGGCGACATGTTTTTGCTCTTGTGATGTGCTGTTTGTAGGTGTGGGGTGTGGTTGGGGTTTGTGTGGATGGTTGTTGAGCTGTTGGGGAAAGGGGGATGGGATTGAAAGCGAGAGAAGGCTCCATTCTGGGCGCGTTGATGCTGGATGTGTCGAGAGTTTGTGGAATGCAGTGACAATGAGGGTGATGAAAATCGCAATCCACTTTGGAACTTCGAAGCTAGTTTGGCGCTATATTTTGGTTGCATGTTGGATGGTTTGGTGATGTTTACTGTTGTGCGTGTGTGTGTGTGTTTTTTTTCTGGGGGGGCGGGGGAGCTTTTTGGCTTTTGTTGGCAATCAGGTGTAGGCTGCCTCCTGTCACCTCACCACTCTGCTTTAGCTGCTCTCACTGCTCTGCAGCCCTCCCTCAGCCCGCGCCCACGCTTACCGTACCCTCGTTCCAGCGTCTGACCCGCTCCCCCTTCTGTTCCAGAGATGACCACGTCACGTACCAGCCGACGGTGCTGTTTAAGCGCACCAAGCACCACAAGGGCTCCATCTACTGCCTGGCCTGGAGTCCGGTCGGCGACCTGATCGCCACCGGCAGCAACGACAAGACCATCAAACTGATGCGCTTCAACGCCGAGACGTGCAACATCGAGGGTGAGCGGGTCGGGGGGAGGGTGAGAGGAATTTGGGTGGTCACGGAGTGTAAGATGTAGGAGGCATTTGCATTTGCTAGTAACTTGATTGGCTGTAAAGATCTACTACATATACTGTATATGACGTGCATTGTCAATGTACGTCACGTCATCAGAAAGTGGCATTCGGGAAGTGTTTACGTTTCGTTGCATAACATTGCATGATACTGAATGGTAATTTAGGGCTGCGTTCGTAAGGTTCTTTTTGCTATAAAAAAGAGATTCAATCGCAGAAAGACATTTTTACAATTATCAAACCGTGTGACAAATCGATGGTTTGTCTTACGCAATCATTTGTGAATGTGGGCGTATTCTGTGCTGAATAGTGCGTCTTATGGTAATCACTGTATTGTAATGTCGGGCTGATCCATGCCCTGAAGGTTAGGAGATGTTAGATACAAAGGTGGTGACCATTTCAACAGACATTCGGTGACCTCAAATCGTACTGAAACGCCTACGAATATAAACGAATGTGTGATTTTGCTGATTGTATAACGAAACAGAGGCGTTTGTCTAGCTGCGTTTATCACATTTCATGATTTGCCGTTGTATATCACCGTTTTTTAATCCTTTATTTCCTCTGTATACCAGTGAAAATCGCTAATTGCTAGCAGATCAGCCCATTTGAGACATTCCTTAGAGCGCCCTCGCAGTCGGCGCCCACGTCCTAAGCTCTATACGTGGGCGTCTCCTCAGCTGTGCGAGGGGGAATGTATCACGTCAGCCGCGTGGGATAATCTGTCTGTCGAATCTCCTCAGTTGCAGTGTGCAGAACTTTGGGCGGATTTTTCTGTGACAGCAGCGGGTTTCTACACGGTTCACGTGGGATGTAGTCTAACAGGTTCCTCCTTGTTAATCAGAATTCGGGAAACGTGATCCAAACCCACGCTAACCGAGCGGTTGTCACGATCTTTAGCGGACGAAATATGTCCGTTTGGACGCAGCTGTGAATGGTGTGATGTCTTTCTCAGGGTTCGCGCTCTAGTAACACTTGCTTCCCAGCCTGGGACTCTTGGTTACGGAGATGGCTGTGTATGTGCTACGCTTGAATGAGTTTGTGGGGCGTCCCGTCGATTACGGGTCAGTTTAGGAGTCATTCTGGTGATAATTTGTGCTTGAATGAGTGGTACTCGCCAGAGATGGAGAATCCAGTTATTGTTTAGAAAGTTTCCACGGACCCCTCTTTCACACTGTTTTTTTTCCTTCCCGACATGTGGACTACGTCGGGTTGGTGATGTTTTTGTTTCACGTCATTGAATCATTCTCAAACACAAACTCACAACACGCGATGAGGCCTTGACTTAACGATATCAGTTACCTGTGATCTCATAACTTGTTGCAGCAACATTTTCTACCTCAACACCGACTTCCCCCCACCCCCACCCCACCCCACCCCACCTTCACCCCCACCCCGCGATGTCCCTGACCTCTGACCCTGGTCACAATGACCTCTCATTAACCTCTGACCCCTATGACCCGCAGGTCAGGAGATTGACCTAACGATGCACGACGGCACGGTGCGCGACCTCTGCTTCATCGAGGACATGTCCAACAAGTCGAGCCTGCTGATCAGCGGCGGCGCCGGCGACTGCAAGATCTACGTCACCGACTGCGTCACCGGCACGCCCTTCCAGGCACTCAGCGGTCATAGTGGTACGTGGAGGCACTCAGAGGGCACTCAGCGGGAACCGTGGTCAATAGCACTCAGCGGGCGCAACTGTTAGGAGAGGGCACATAGGAAGACTGATTGGTGGATATACAGTATTCAGTGCATCCACCTACATCCTGAAAGAAAGAGATGCAATGCGAGCCTGGCACGTGAAGATAAACCATTCGTGTCCCGATTCCGCTAAATTCAGCTGTGCGCGGCACGTGCCTATGTGTCACCGGTGCCTCACTACTTGTATCGTTAAAGTGTCCGGCGGGCAGGGGCCCCAGAGTGCTGCGCCTGGTATGCAGGAATCCGCCCGTGGTCTGATACGTACCGAGAGCTCTGAATACACTTACCATGAGCAATGTACTGAGAGGGCAACTAACGTGTCATCGGACATTTGGGCGCGGGTCGCTTATAGGACAGCTCGGTTTGGTGCTTTGTAAAGCCTAGTGTAGTGCTGTGGCTTGGCTGTGGCTAAAACATTTTGGATTTTATATTGGGATTCTTTTAATGTTGCGTGTTTTCAGTGCGCGTGTCCTAATGTCACGGATTTGCACACTAAATATAGCCCTAGCTGCAATATCTTTGGCTAAATGTTACCAAGTGATGTATCGTGTAACCCTTCGTTTTCCACACACACTACCAACTGCTCAGACGCATGCGATTTCTAGCGTCTTTATGCCAACTTCTCGCACTTCTATTCAGTGAACATTTCTATGAGGTGAAGTGGCACAGAGCGCTGGGAAGTTTTCCCACAGCTGCCACATTTCAGAGCGATTTACAGCGCAGTTTCTCTGCACCTAATGGGGTGAAGACTACCAAACTGCAGCCGGGGCACTGGAAAACTTCATCAGTGAACCGTAACCGGAGCAGCACTTGACACACTGGGTACTGCTAATGGGTTGCTGGGTGTTTTATTGTTTGGTTTTGAGAGCAGTGCTGTATTACGATGTAATGCAATTCTGCAACTACGATGCAACGACACTGATTGGCTCTACCCTACATTGGCAATCCATTTTACTCGCTGCAAAGGAAATGACTTGGGGAAACAATACACCCATACCCCCACTTCTCGATTTTACTCGGCACAAAGCGAGTGATTTTCGAAACCATACACTCATACTCCCTGCAACCCACCCCTCGACTTCACCCCCACCCCAGACTGACAACCCCCTCCCCCCCCCCCAGGTCACATCCTCTCGCTGTACACCTGGGGCGGCGCCATGTTCGTCTCCGGCAGCCACGACCGCACCGTGCGCTTCTGGGACCTGCGCTCTCGCGGCTGCGTCAACATGTTCCACCCGCCGAGCGCGCACGCGGGCTCCAAGGGCTCGCCAGTCGCCTCTGTGGCCGTGGACCCGTCCGGACGACTGCTCGTCTCCGGACACGAAGATGCGTCCTGTAATCTGTATGATATTCGCGGAGGAAGGAATATCCAGAGTTTCAAGCCGCACGAGTCGGATATTCGGAGCGTGAGGTTCTCACCCAGTGCTTACTATCTGCTCACCGGAGGATACGATAACAGGACGGTGCTCACCGACCTGCAGGGTGAGTTACTGCAGCTTCTCACCGGATAGTAGGGATGGGGAGGTGGGGAAGGGGAATGGAGTAAAAAGCATTGAAGAGCGAATGGGGGTTGCGTAACGTTTAGCAATGTGATTTCGCCCCCTGGCCTATAGGTGACCTGTCTTCATGACATACATTTCATGTGACCGTTTGTGGCACTTAGTTACCTTATTTGACCCCTCGGATGAGCTTGCCCATTTTAAGTTCCTGAAGGGTTATAGGATTGTACCTGACCCTTTGTTTCGTTAACATTGTTCATTATTGCATTGCATTGTACATATATAGAATTAGAGACGCTTCTAAGTGACGTAGACGAGACCAGTTGTAACTGCCGTGAATCATGTGCTGTGACGCCTCCCCTCTCTCTCCCTTCCCAGGTGACCTGGTCTGACCCCTCCCCTGTTCATCATTTGACCTGTCTGCACTCATGTGACCTGACCCCCCCCCCCCTCCCCTGCCCCCTCAGGTGACCTGACGATGCCGCTGCCATCTGTGATCGTCGCCGAACACCAGGACAAGGTCATCACCGGCCGCTGGCACCCGAACGAATTCAGCTTCCTCTCGACCGGCGCCGACAAAACGTGCACCCTGTGGGCCCTACCGCCGCTGTGAGGACGCACACTGGACCCCAGAGCGCTAACGGTGGCCAAAATCAGGCGTGGAATAACTGTACGGCGGTGGGCGGGGGGGGGGGGGGATGAGCGAATGTTGAGGCTGTCCAGGAATAATATTTTGGCGTGGAAGTTGTGAGATGTGTTGGTGGGATTATGTGGAAGGGTTTCGTTTATGGTTTCACGGATAGACTGCAATCATGGATTTGTTTGTTGTGTGAGCGTTATTGAGGCATGCTCCCGACCGCAGGCGGTGTTGAGTAATTGTTGAATGCCCCGAACTAACTTATGTGAATATTCAGCTACCCGGAACTGCGAGATACGAGAGATATTGTGTAACGGTCAGTTGTGACGCGTGACGGTGATATCGTGACGCGCTGTCTGCGTGACGTCGTGACGCGCGGCGTAACGGTGACGTCACGTCACGCGCAGGAGAGCTTTACCGTCACTGCGTAACGTTGTTCGATAGTCAGACGCGAATGTTAGCGCGTAGTTTCCGCGCGTAATTCCAGTCATCTCACTTAGCGCGCGGCGAGGCAGCCGGGGCACCGCCAGGCAGCTGACGGAAAACTGGAGAATCTCCGCCCCGAGGCCGAGTCTGGTTTTGTTGGGAGGACTCGAGCGGCGTATACCGGACACAGGCAGCTCGGTCCGTTCCGTTATTTTTGTACGTCCGCTCGCACCGGCGTTGCGTTATTGGCTGCTGCTCTGCCCGCCGTAATGCTGCGAAAAAGATGTGTTAATTCCACAGGCTTGGCTATTCTCATACAGTCAAAGTGACGCTTGGCGAAATAAATAATGTGTAAACACCGTGAGAGGAGTTTCTGTGTGTGGCTAGAGCCAGGATTCGAAAATGCAATAAGTTGAACTTCGACGATGCCAAACGAGTAGTGCAGGAACAAACCCGAAATGGTCCATTCGTAGACGTCATATGAACCCCAGAACTCGACGTGAAGCGACCACCGAAGCGAATCGAACTCAAGATTGCTGGAAGCGGGATCGGATCGACTACGGGTCGATCTACAGCTGTTCTTGCCACGAAGCTGCTCAGGCCGTGAGCTTGACAACATCGCGACTTCCCCCTAATAAACTATTTCTTATTTTATATCAGAGGCTGAAGCAGCCCTCCCCCCCCCCCCCCGAAAATATATCCACGGCCATTCGCATCCTCAAACGTAACCCCTCGTGATGCCATTAGTACTCATCTCGTTCCCTATTCCACCCTTCTCTTCCTTCATTCTGCTCTCATGGCACGCCTCACCCTTCTCAAGCAGAAACACCACGTATTAAATATGAAGCGAGACTGTGGTATATTCTTTCTCCGGTACCTGACTCGGCACGGTTTATGACGTATGATACATGAGCAAGCCATTGAACAAAACACAACACACCGCCCTCCTGCGCACTCGATGTGGTCCTGATGGCGCCGGTCCCGTCACGGGGTAAAACAGGGCGCTCCGCAGCCGCCGGCGAATCAGCAGGGGCGACTCTCGAAGAACGCCAGTGACCGGTGACTTTCCGCAGACCGCCTGATACACAGCTTTGTAGGTTTTCTGCGATATCAACACACAACCCCGGTGCTTCACTTTGGTTGTCATCACCCACGCCCCTCTGAAAGAAACTGTCTGCTTAAAACTGAACATGTATTCCGGTATGTCTGAAGCGCGAGTGATGAGGTTGACGACGAATCACGCTCCGTTGGTAGCGCGGCCCGCCGGGCGCGGTGCGAACAGTGCCCGCACAGGGCGGCACGGCTGGTCTCCATCCCCGGGCGATCATGGTGGCTTTGGTGATGATGAAGTCTAGCGTCCTTCGACTGAAAAGAGGAGAGAGGGAATAATGGTTAGCGGTTTTTATAAGTCAGCGTCGCAGACACTAAAGACAGAATATATGTAGATAAGCAGTGCAGAGCTCACACGAAAATGCAGTCGAAGAAGCCACTATAATAGAATAGACGATAGAAGGGCTTCCAGTGCTAAAAAGAGCTTCTAGAGCTAGAGGTTCTAAAGCCACTAAAAAGCCACTAGAATAACTTACCAAGAATGTTTGAGGGCAATGATTGAAACAGCAAAGCCAATTAGTTACGTCGAGTCACAGGCAAAGACTTGTCAAACAGTGTTAGCCTAACGCCCCACAGCCCATTTTAAGCTCCACCAGGTAGCCCCCCCCCCCCCGGCCCTGCCGCTCGCCCCTCCTCATACTCACTGTACGAGGAGAGGTCGATCTCGTCGGGCAGCTCCGTGATGTTGACGTCGAACCGGTCCTGGACATCATTCAGGATCTTGGCGTTCGCCTCGTCAGAGATGAAGGTGATGGCCAGACCCTTGGTGCCGAACCGTCCGGCGCGCGCCACGCGGTGCAGGTACGTGTCCGAGTCCTCGGGCATGTCGTAGTTGAACACGATGTTGACCCGCTCGATATCCATACCGCGGCCGAAGAGGTTCGTGGCCACAAGGATCCGCTGTCAGGAGAGAGAGGGGTTAGAGAGGGGAGGCGTGGGGTGGGGAGAGTGCGGGAGGTGGGATAGTCAGAACAGATGTTACGATCAGGGTGATCAGATGTCCCTATCTGTGAGGTATCATCATTGTGGAGATGTAGGCTTACAACAGATTAATCTCCTCGGCCCAAATAAAGAAACAAGGGTATGATAAAATAAATGAAGCATCATGATGAGATTGATATGGAAAGAAAGAATACAGATTTGCTCGACAAGACTAAAAGCAGACAAGCGTCAGACTAGAAACGTATCAACAAACTGACAAAGGATCCCCGGGCGCCCCTCCCGGGGATCAGACACGCACCTTCTGGAAGTCCTTGAACTGCTGGTACTTGCTCAGCCGCTCCTCCTGAGACATGGAGCGGTGAATGGCGATGGCCGGGAAATTCTGCTCGATCAGCAGCTTGGCCAGGGCCATGCAGCGCTGGATAGACTTGACGAAGATCACCACCTGATGGGGAGGGGGACGCAGCGGGAGGGGGGGGGGGGGTCAGAGGTGGTACAGAGGGTGGGGGGGAGGAGGACATGGGATAGCATCGTCAGCACAGATGTATATAATCAGGGGATTCAGTTGTCCCTATCTGTTAATGTCATCATGTTAGTGAAACTGATTATCAGCAGATAATCTAAGGGCAGGCTTATCGGACATACGCCCAGTCAGCCACCGGTAGGCTGCAATGAGCTACAAGCAATAACCGCCGTCCATAAAGGACAAAGCCAGACGACTCTCAAACGTCCACCTCTCGCCAGGGCGGCAGCCCACCGCCATCGCCCCAACTGACCTGGTTGAACTCGAGGACATCGAGCAACTCAAACAGTTTGCGGTTCTTCTCGTTCTCCTTGACCTTGCAGTAGTGCTGCTGCAGGCCGTGCAGGGTCAGCTTGGCCTCGTCGTCGACGTACACCTCCATGGGCTGTAACAGACGGAGCGGCGCCGCGCGCACATGCAAACCACCGCCGACACAACGACAGGGGGAGGTAAGGGGTGGGGGGGGGGAGTCCGGTGTGCGCCAAATATGCTGTGGCGGGGCCTGGGGGAATCCGTTTTCGTTGTAGCGTAAATTTTAATGACTGAAGGCATTGTAGTGGAAATGGGAGGGAGCCGGAGGAAATCGAAATGACTGTAGATCAAAAGCAAGGAATATGTGGCCACGAAGAAAAGCTAAGTTTTGGCTGAGGTGTTTGGTACGAATTTCGCCAGCATATTTGGCGCATAACTATTGATGATTAAAGACATGCAGGGGAGGAACACGAATTATTGCACAATCGCAACCGCCCCGAAATTTTGGATGTTTTCCGTTTTGCATTTACACGCAATGATCAATGGAATATTCCCGCAAAACAAAATGTAGCCAATAAAAGAAAGCAAAAGGTCTCGCCTTGCGACCCCATTTTTTAGTTCCCGAACTAGCAAAAACAAAAGTCGTCATGGGGAAGCGCGCAAAGCTACAGACCCAAACGCGGCACGCCAGCCAGCCCTCCCCAGCCCCGGGGAGGACGGGGGACGGCGGGCGGGTACTCCTGGCGCCAATCTGCGCTGCCGGCCCCGCCCAGCCGTCCCTTCCATCACCACAGCCCAAACCGTCAGACCTGCAGGCCGGAGGGTCTCACGCTGCCCCAAACCGTCGGCGGACGCTGAGGTGACACTCTCTCGTGAGATCCCGTGCGCGAGCCTCTCCCCGCAATTCGGCGCGGTGTGGGCTCCCGCGCTCCGCTTTTCAGCCGAGGAGCGCCGGCGCACTGTTGAGTTCCCACACGTCGAGTTCTGTCCGATCTTGTGCACTGATAGTCCGTGAGCACAGATGACGGCGACGCTTGACGTGTGGCATCACGCGTAGCGCTGGTGCCGTCACAGCCAACCAGAGGCGACGCCGACCAGCCGTTCGCCGCGAGACTTGGCAGACAGGCGGCGACACGTGTGTTTGCGTGCGAGTGTGGCTAGGCGAGCGTGTGTGTCAGCTCGCTTTGCGAAGGGTCACGGGTAGCGACGTGACTTCGCGTGTGATCAGTGTCGTACGATGGTAGCAGCCTCAGTTGGGAGTTCTTCGTGTTCAGAGTGACATTGGTGAAAAAAGCATGGCGATATAGGGATGTAAAGTGCGTTCGATCTTCTTGCTGTGGGTACAGGAAGTTTGAGTGGTGGAGCTTCTTGCCGTAAAGGCCTCAGGCGCTGAGGCTGTGTAAGAGGGATTGGCCGAGGAGTATCTGTATTTCGGGTGAGTAGAAAGGCAGTGGGAGGAGCGGAAGGTCTATTTCCGGGTTGTCTGCCGTGAAGAGGCGTGGGAAGACGTGTAAGGGAGCCAGATGTAGCTCAGGCTGTTGTGCGTAAAGTGAGTGCGTGTGTGGAGAAATTCGAGAGTAGCTGGGCATCGGGAGGCAAGCGCCGATGCCAGGGATCGCAGGTGGATCTCGTATCCTTGGTGAGGGATATCCAATGGCTGGGACATCCGTAAGAAAAGGAATATCCAGTGTAAAGGGGATATCCGTAGTTGGAATATTCGGGTTGGGATATCCACGGGCTAGAATATCCATGTGTTGGGATATCCAGGTGTTGGAATATCCGGTTTTGGGGATATCCATGGATCGGGATATCCGCTGACGCCGATGACTAACTGCCGATGCCGTGGGGTCTGATCTGATGACGGCCGGACTGCCCGGCGACTAGAGCCGACGGCCGTCGGGAGTCTGGAGGCGCCCAGCTCCCCGCGGGCTCTCCAGAGCGGCGCCGGAGCCGATGCGCAGCGACGCGGCGGCCTCTGCTGGACAGAGCAGCCGCCGGGGGGTCGGCATCTTGCCGCGAGAGGTGGATGGTTCTAACAGAGCGCAGAGGGCGGCGGCGCAGCGACGCTCAGCCGCCCGAGCACGGGACCGTCACGAGAGACGCAGTAAGACAAGTGGTGCCATTTACATCCTGCATGAACTTCTTGCAGACGGGCCGGATCTCCTTGCTGAGTGTGGCGGAGAACATGAGGACTTGCTTCTCGTGCGGCGTGTTGCGGAAGATCTCCTGGACGTCGCGGCGCATGTCTGGGGAAGGAGAGAGGGGTGTCAGAGGGAGAGCGGGAGGAGAGAGAGGGAGGAGGGAGCCCAGACATCCTCAGAACAGGTGTAGATAATCACCGGGTTCCGTGGCCCTCCTTAACGTGTTTTTCATCACTAAGTTAGCGTCTGGAAAGATTAATTTGTAGTTTTCAGCATAGAATAAAAACAATTAAATTAAAGAAAACAACAAATCAACTGACCAAACATAAAAAAGCATCAGAAAAACGCCAATGTAACAAAAAAAAAAAACACCATCACCGCTCTTGTCAGTACGTACCCAGTTCCTCCAGCATTTTGTCGCACTCATCGAGCACAAAGTGCTTGAGGTTCTTCAGGTTCAGTTTCTTGGTGCGGACGAGAGCCAGCAGTCGGCCCGGAGTGCCGACCACGATGTGGGGACACTTGTCCTTCAGCACTTTCTCGTCGTTCTGGATCGGCATGCCACCGAAGAACACGGCCACCTGCCGGGGGGGGGGGGGAGCGGGGGGTTGTCAGAGACTGTGTAACGGGGAGGCGCGGAGTGGGGAAGAGGGATGGACTCAGCACAGATGTATGAAATCACAGAGTTTCAGTTGTCCCTATCTGTTTGTGTCATCTTGGTAGAGTATCTTGCCTACACGGTTTTGCAATATATCATGACCTAGAAAAAGGTTATAAATTGATATAAATCGGCATACTCTGTACATTCTTATATAGAAATTACCTGCCCAACATAATAAATTAACAGAACGAAAACCCCATCTTCTAAATCCCAAAGCCGGTCGATACTTCAAAATACCCCTTCTAAATCATCCGTTCGTCTTCTAAATCCCGCGTTTCCACGCACCTTTACGGTGGACATGTACTTGGAGAATCTCTCGAACTCCTTGCTGATCTGGAAGGCGAGCTCCCTGGTGTGGCACATGACGAGCACTGACACCTGGTCGTCCACCATTTCCAGCTGCTGCAGACAGGCCAACACGAACACGGCCGTCTTGCCCATGCCGGACTTGGCCTGGCACAGGATGTCCATGCCCAGCACCGCTTGGGGAATGCACTCGTGCTGCACTGCGGGGGAAAGGGTGAGGGGGTTAGTGTGCTGCTGTGAGCCGGACTAGTGATGGGTCTGTCAGTGACGTCATTGATCCTGTGAACGTATTCCCGACACTTGATAGACATAAGGAAAGACAGCTTGGCAATAGTTTACCGCAACAGGTTTATCCTGAACGGCAGTCGGCGCTGTATAGCGAGATTCCCGACCAATGCTCCGTGCTATTCCAGTCACAAATACGACTCATTTTCACCGCCGTGCTGCATCCATTGCATATTTTACGGATTTTACACTTCCATCCCCACCCAAACCCACCTTCGGAGGGGTGCTCGAAGCCGCACTCGACGATGGCTCTCAGGATCTCCGGTTTGAGCAGGAAGTCCCGGAAGCCGCTGCTGTGGATGGAGACGTACGTTCCCTTGACGTCCTTCTTGGCGGGCGCCGCCGAGTCGGCGGCGATGGTCTGCTCGGCGGTCTCGTCCTCGTCGGCATCCTCGTAGTCCAGCAGCTCGTTCTCGTTTTCGGCCATTGTGAGAGGTGCGGCTGAAAGAGCAGAACAGACAAGTGTCAGTATTAGTAGTCAGCATGGTAACAGGTGGGGCTCAAAAAGGGAAAATAATTCAGCTTTAGTCCAGCATACTCTTCTCAGCCATGATGAAAGGATGGGCTGAAAATGGACAATAATTCAGTTATAATCCAACATACAATCCTCTCAGCCATTGAGAGGTGTGGACGAAACTGGAATGGAAAAGTCAGTATTTAAAGTTCCCTATACTCATTGACCGCCATTGTAAGGCATTATCACCACTTGATTCTCACTTGGAACAAAAAGTCAACATATTGAAGCTTCCAATTTTTGTTTTTCACTGTGCTTGTTGTTGACTAGTCAAACATATGCAACTGTGATTCAATGTACTATCTGCTTACAAGATCAGATGCCTTGTTTTTTGGATGGATCCAAAAATTGTGAACCGTGATGAGCTCAGTAATGCCATATATGCTGCCACTAATGCCAGATAATTTAGTTGATAACTTCTGATCAAGTTAATCTACAAACTGAATAGCCAACAACAGACTAAAAAGAACCTATTTGCTCACATGACAATCAGCATAGTATTATCTCTTTTCACCAGCCTCTTGACTGGAGGAGACTTTAACAAACATTATATCGTTGACTGGAGTCATTTTTAACCTTATGAATAGGTCAAACACCAGCTTCATGTACGATACAAAATAGCTGAAAGAACAGCAGCCAACTACAAAATGGCATTACATTATTATTATTACTACCCATTATGTTCTACATTAGTTAACTCAGGTCTCAGCATGTCCATGCCCATCAAATGGTTAACTTTGTTACCAGTTTAAGCGAACTTAAAATTTTCCTAATTTTCAAATTACTTAAATCAATTAAGTTTAAGTTAACCCAATCGCATCATAACAAATATCATTAGGTTTGGCTGAGCATAAGGAACACAATGACACCATTTTGGAAGCTCTAGCCTCATTGTGTGCAAAGTTATGAGCAAAAACATGGTTGAACATCATTTGACCTCACATGACCTGACTTGTTTTTTTTTACAGCAAGCAAATACCAAATTAATCTTCAATTGAGCTAAAACAACACAAAAAGGTTGAAAGGGGGTGTTTTTTAACAATTGCAGCTATTCAGACAAATTTTCTTAGAATTGGTCATGACCTCTACATGACCTCAGGTCACCCAAACTTGAAAACCTGGATATTGGCTATACAACTCAGTGAGCTTAGCATACCCTGCAAGTTTGAATAAAACTGATGAACAACTCTAGATTCCATTGACAAAATAGCATATTTTCTGTGCCATTTTGACCATGTACCAGTTTTTGTGACCTTGTGACCTGACCTGAGGTCACTGGAACACAAAACTCCCAGGATGTGTCAAGTGCGACGAGTTGTGTCTGAAATTTGGTGGCGCTAGGTCCCACAATCCTTACCCTATAAACGATAAACTCAGCAATTCCGTTGCCGCCAAAATAGTATAATTTTACCCTGACATTGCACTGGCTTTGGTGACCTGACCCGCAATGATAGACCTCAAATTTTCAGGAAAGGTGCCAAAAGGTTGCCCCAGAGGGCATGCCAAATTTGGCAGAGGTATGCGCCTCTGTTTTGAATTATTCACGAAAAACCTTATGGGGGGATCGCATCAACTTTCCTGGCCCAGGGAGGGTTTGGGTTAAGCGATTGCACAATGCATATCCGTGTTACATTAGTTACATTAGTAGTCTTTGGCCTTCCCTGAAATTTTCTAGGTTGATAGTTTGTGACAATATGGTTTGGTTTCTTATTGAATTTTTAGCCTAGGTTGCAAAAGAGGGATTTCACCGCAGCCACCAAAAGTACCGTAAAATGGGGTGTTAAGGGACAGTGGGGTGCTAAGGGACAGTTGCATGGGAAAAACTTTGAGTCATATTAACTTCCTAATTTGAGAAGGTTCAATAAAAACTTCAGTGTGGTAGTTGACACTGCTTTGTTCTTGACCATAGGACAAAATGGTATGGTTCTTCATGCAAGTGATTTGGTTCAAAAATGGATTTGAAAATCATACTACATTTTTATAAAATTGAAACATCTGCAAAACTCTGTGTGTACCACATAAACTGGTGGGTGTACAGGAAAAATAAATGCATAGGTGTATTGTCACATGTATTGCACATGTTTCCTGAAAAAGTTGTGCAAATCCACCCATTCATTCATCATCCTCTTCCTCTTTTCCGGATACATGCATATTTTGAGGTGGATGTGGGGTGCTAAAGGACAGGGAAGAAAAAATAAAAAATAATATCTAAATATAATTTCATTAAGTTTTCTTTCAGTAGGCATGGAAAACACCAAATTCCACATAAAATGTTGGCAAGTTCATGCTTTTATCTCTAACACATCTTAAGCTACATAACAAAACATTTCAACACTCTCTTTTACAATGATGGGTCAATGGAGACTGATGTAGGTAAATGTGATGTCATCATAAAAAGGCTAAAACAAAGAGGGCAACATAATGACAAGTGGCTAGCTTCAACATGGGTTTTTATTGATGACAGAAGGGTACTTTTTGGTTCTGTTTACCTTATAATTAGCACATTTTCCAGAAGCATAAACTGCATTACACGTAATTGGCTAAAAAGGTCATTAGTGGTGAACGAACCTGACTTGTTTTGTGACAGAATATGCAAAACATTTCAATAAATAAATTGTATGCCCTTCCACACCCCAATTGTGGGCATTTGATGACCTTTTCTTCCAATAATATAGGTGTCCCTTAACACCCCACATTGGGGTGCTAAGGGACAGTGATGAAAAATAATAAAAAATAATATGCAGGTATAAATCTTAAAAACTTTAATGTGGGAGGCATGTAAAGCCCCAAATTCCACATAAAATGCTGACAATTTGATGCTTCTATCTCCAACCCTTCTTGAGTTATACAACAAAACACCTCAAAATTGTCCCTTAACACCCCGTTTTACGGTACACTAAAATTAGATGAAGATCGGCATGACAAAGATGGGTTGTTTGGAATTCTCTTAGCAGACGTCACCCGAGCTGCCATATCCAGTTAGGTAGGTTGGTAGGATGGTAGGTTAGGTTGTAGGTTGGTAGGTTAGGTTGTAGGTTGTAGGTAAGGTTAGGTCAGGTTAGATTAAAGTTTGTTATATATTTAACTGTGAAAAGACAATTGTTGCGCACGTAAGACATAGATATGGCAGCTCGGGTGATGTCTGCTGAGTACCGTTTGTTCTGTTTCCCCTTTACATCGGCACCCCGTATGGTTTGGTACTGGGTACAAATGGGTTGTGGATCAGTGAAAGGATCATGCATTTCGCCTTTTTTGTATGACATTGTTCCTCACAACCTTCTATTATTTTCCTGTTTCTCATTTTACACATTTGGCATTAACCCTTCCCTGTCCTCTTCATACGGTTGTTGGAGCTCAGGTATCGATATTCTTATAGCAATAGCCGAAAGTTTTCCACATACCAAAAAGTGAAAGCGAGCTTGAGGCAAACGCGACGCAGCTGCAAAACCTTTCAGTTCAACAAATAATTAATGTCAGCAAACACTGATAGATAATTCAACATTTTTAGAATACAGAACAAAAGAGCTATCCATGTAGAAAACGATCACGCTATCCATCCATAAATTACCTGGCAATGAATACAGCAAAGAATGACACGCGGCCAACCGGTAGTCGCCGAGAACAAGAGAAGTGCCGACGCCGCAAAATGGCTGATACCATTTCCGGAAGTTTTGCAAAAACAATTTTTGCTTATGATTTTTGCTCAATATCAATTTTTAATTTAAAGAAAGTTATTTTCATAAATGAAACTTGAAATATTAGCTTCAAGCGCGAGATCTTCCACAGCAAAAATTGTATCAGTGCAAATAATAAGCGTTAGCTAAATTAATATGGCAGAAATCTATGGGGATTTGTGTTGTAAAAGGTGAATATTCAGTGGAAAATCCCGTTTAAAAGAAACAAGTACTCCTTGATGTAGCACTAAAGTCTCCAAAGCTCTGTTTGTGAAAAGACTCACATTTTTGGCCGGCGAAAAAGCGACTTTACAACCAACCTAAACCGTCAGCACATCGTCAGTAGCGAGCGGGGTCAGCTTCATCCTTCAGAATGACCGTCACGACAAGTCCTGCTTTTCGTCCAGATAGGCATCGACGCCGTATTAGATTTCCTCATCTTTGGGAAGGGCAAAAAGATAGTCTTGCCCACACGTTTTAGCTTTGGGGAGGGCAAATGCCCATTTTGCCCTCCCCTTGAATGATCCGCCACTGTAATTTGGGATAACTGCGGGAGCCGCCTACCACACTACTTTCAGCGTAGCTGGTAAACACAATGTGCAACTCAGGCACGCTCGGAGAGAGAGAGAGGGCAAGTGAGCATGTTCACCCTGAGATCTGAACAATAATCATCGTTTAGTCCCGTTATCTGAGATGTCACCACAACATCTTTGGCAGTCAAGCAAAAGCAATCAGGGCGATATCCGACCAGCGCGACAACAACCCCCCCCCCCCCCCCCCTTTCAGCCGGCCGAGATAAAGTTTCGTGGACTGGCTAGTGGCTATCGCATCTTTCTCACCAAATTATCCTGACCAGACACCGCTTATTCGAGCACACACCTTTCAACCCCGGCTAGTGGGGCCTCAAAGTCCATGCCAAAATGTGAACATCGAAGCAATCGCGAAAAAGAAGTGCGAAGCCAACTGAAACGACGATGCCTTCTCACAACTGTAAAAACAGGATGTTTTACAGTTGGCAAAGCCAGACCTGCAGATTGACATTGATCTATTGGTGACACCGGGTGTGAAATATAATCCACTACATTTGGCATCATATAATACCAACTTTTGATAAGTAAGATAAGTTTCACTTCGTAGCTGAAACCGCCTGTAACAGTTTGACAAGTTTTCCATCCACTTATCACTCAGAAAACATGTGCTCAGCCAGAACAGTGTATTAATGCGTGTAAATCTTCCTTAAAATATGCTCCAGAGGCGTATAACCCCGTTATCACCGTGTTGTTAGCGATATGCAAAACTACAGTCTCTTGTCCGTGACGTGAAACCACGGTTTCCATGGTTACACGCACTCAGCGCTTCCAAACAGGGTTTCAATCCACCAGAAACCCTGACGAGCTTGTCGATACGTTTTCACGATTCTCACGTCACGTGCGTCGCAACACACGTGTCCTACGATAGCGACAAAGCAAACGTCGGCATGCTCTGCCAAACGGTGGTACATCTGTGCGCTAAACATTTCGCACAACGTGAAACTAAGTCGGCAGTTACGGACTACAACTCTGTACGGTATGCTAGAATACTAGAGCAAGGCACGACAGTAAGAAGAATGTCAGATGTCTTAGGTCAGATCTATACTTGAGTTATAGAAAATGATAAGCTGCCAGAATATGGCTGACAAATACTTCAGATCAGCAATACAGAAAAGCAAATACAAAAAAGGAAATAAAAAAATCAGCAGCAACGTTCATGTGAACTCGAAATTAGTACACAAGGTCAATAAACACCGGCAAAAATTACAAAGCGTTCTCTAATCACGCTGTGAATAGCACAGCCCCCTAACCCTTCTTAACCACTGTCTTGGTCTAAGCACGTAATTGGCAATGTTCAGTGAAACACACTTCGCCTCACACAATGCACACGGGTCGAAAAATATTAACTCCGCGCATTAACAATCGCCCCCATTTCAGATCACTTGTGATCACGTGATCACTCGAGGGGCGGTTTTCTCGATAAACTGCTGCAAACAAATCCCGAGTACAGCCCTCTGGACGGACTGATGCGCGGAAACTCGCTGCTGCAATTGGTCGAGAACGACGCATGCGCAGTGGGCGTGTCGTCGGCGTACTCTGGCGTCAGTGTGCCGCCGGACGCCGCGCTGGACGGACGGGGAGGCTGCGCGCCGGCAGAGCACGACGCCAGGTCCTCCAGACTGGCCATGGGGGCCGGGCATTCACTGAAGGCGGCCCCCATTAGCAGCCAGGGGTGCAGTCTGTGGATGCAGAGGGCGGGGGTCAGAAAGGCCAAAGCAGTGGGCTGCAAGGGTGGAAAACTAAGCGCGGTGCTTGAACTGTTAAAAACATGGAGTTGGATTTTACGGTACCTATCGCTTTGTGCTGGTTACTTGAGAGCAAGGCATCAGGCAAGGCAGCGGACTCTCAGCTTCTAAAGCAGCATTGAGCATTCATTTAATACGACAAAGTTCACTCATATATTTGGTACGAAGTCTAGCAAAATGCAGCGAAGGACATCGGTACTGCGTAAGTGAGGTAGCATTCTCAGCCATGCAACTCGATGGTTCTGAAAGTGTCTTTCATACGCGGAAAGATAAGCGTCATTCGACAACAAAACTGATAAATCGTGCAATACTCGATAAACCTAATTGAATAAATGGCATGTTTCACCTGGATTTATCATTATCGCCCTCATAAACACCCAATATCGAAATGCAGCAGCCACGCCCAGCTAAAAACGCTCCAGCATTTTCGGCCGCCTAGCTTCCATTCTTGTAACTCGAGTTTACCTTTGCTGCCGCTAGATGGTAGTCTGCATGGGCACGAGCATGGGCCGAGCAGAGGTCGGCGCCAGCATGGCATCCGTGTCCTCCAGACTGCAGAGCGGCGGGGGAGCAGATACGTGCGGTTAGAGGGGCGCACAGGCAGCCAGCCAGCCCGACTACAACAGACAGACACACAGACAGACAAACAGACGCACACGGCACGCGCAAAAACGCGCGGGACGTTAACAACAGAGCCGGAAACGTACAGCTTCCACTGCAGCCTTCCAATCACATTAAACATACTAGGTGGAACAAGTTTATCACTCAAAATCAAGTAGGCAGTTAGACAAGGGATTTAAAGGTTACTTTATGCCTGGATTCTAAAATTCGATGCGTCTCTGACCCGTGGTTATGTCCGGAGCTACTAGTCTCGAGCTCGTATGTCGAGCTCACTGCTCACTAGTCAGTAGTCACTACACACGCCAGGGCCGACCGAGCTAAATGCGAGTAAATGAAGTTTCGCTAGCAATTTATCGTTGATCAATCAGACTGCACCGTGTCTAGATAGGTTACCCACATGGTAAAAGAACAAGAATGCCCTGCAGGTCGGATTTCACCGAAAAAAAAAAACGGGAGAATGCGTGACCGAGCCAGTGTTCCGGGTCTGTGACCTTCAGAATCACTTCCGGCATTACAGCAGATCGGAACATCGCATTTGAACTTCTTAATGGCGTAGGGAAAGGAAGCAATAATGATTCACCTATAATTAGCCATTGGTGATTGAATAAAGGACGCACACGGTTATGTCTTTTCGGCCAATTTTTAGGACATCATTTGCCTCAAAGGCTTGAAGTTCTAAGACTGGTGTCACAGCCGACACACGTTTGTGGTTAATCAACCCCTCACAAATTATTAGTGGTGTGAGCACAAACGCATCATTCCAGCTACTGAACGAAGTTCAAACAGCACAAAGCATCACGCCACAAAGACCCCCTCCCCTCCCATCCCCACGTCATCTGTCACGCGTTTCTGCCTCCCTGTTACGCAGAACGCCCGGTGAATCACCATCGCTACAAACACCCCCCCCCCCCGATCAGGGGGTCGCGCAGCGCGCTGGCTGGTGACCCGACATAAAAACCCGTCAGTCGCCGCCGCCGGCCGCCATCTTTGTCCCCCAGTGACGTCACAGATGTAGTGATGACCGTGAACGAGGACCGATGGTGGATGTCTGGACTGAGTGGGTTTGAGAGGGAGCTGAATATTGATTGACGAGACGAGGGGGGCTGCGGCTTTTCTGGAGACCACTGGACGATTACAACAGATGACAAGGCTTAGAGTTTAGACTAGGCGACACGAAAGGCTATGTTAGGATTCATCTTTATACGCATTATTTATGCGATTAATAGATACACAACGGAAGGGCAGTTAATCAAAAATGATATTGTAGGCAATTTAATCTGTTTTCTATTTACTGAGCAAGGACAAGAAGGACGAAAGCCAATGTTGGGCGGTTCAATCAGAATCAGCATATGGAACAAGATATGTCGGGTCTCGAGCCAAATGCAAATTTACTGACGGGGCGTGACCTTGTTGAATATTCGCGCATTTCGATAACTTCCGTTAGGAATTCCTACCACGATACCACCTATCACAAACCTGCCCACGCAAGGAACTAAAATCCCGGGCTGGCACCGCGGCTCCTACCATCCGAAAACTGGCAGCTCCACGAGCATTCCAGATCGGCCCATATAAGGACCGCTACTACGTCTCCCATCGCTGCAACCAGTCTACAAGGGCTTACAGGGACCTGGAGCAGAAGCTTAGAGATCATCCGCCCGATTAGAGGAAGCGACCGTCACGGCTGGAGCGGCAGACCGACCAACCGGTGTCCCGTTTTCCCCGTCGTGATGGTCATATTTTTCCGTCGTGCAAAACGCGGTGACCTTTTTTCCAGCGTGCAGGGCAACATCGGTTCCTATCCCTTGTCGGCAGTGTACGGGCGGGATGGACATTGGACAGGCTTGTTTGAAGAATGACATACCAAGAGTTAGCTGACAATTTTTTTTTTTGTATGTTCTAGGGCGATTCCGTGCTAGGATTTGATAATGGTTATGGTTCTGTTTTAAATTTAGCTACCATTTGATAGTGTAAGCTTGAGTTTAGTCAATGAACACACAGAGCACACGTCATCGATCACACTTCACATAGACACAGGACAAATCAGCCTTTCCTCTTCACGCTCACACGAGATATCAGCGGCAAACTCGGAAAACACACGCAAGCGAAGTTAATTGACTGCATGCTCGTGATAAATTCATGCACTATTAAAATTTCAAAAGAACCCATCGACAAACGCGAAACGGAACAAAGAAATTATTTAGAAATGGCATTTGTCTAGTGAGTTTCCACTATCATTGTCTCTCAGCCCCCATTCATCCCATTTCTGTCTCATGCACGAACAACTCCCACACACCCCTCCTCTCGCTCTACCTTCCTCCCTTCCTCTCCCCTCGGCGTTCTTACCCGGCATATTCGTCCATGCTGGCTTTGACGAGCCGGTCCTGCTCGTCTAGTGGCAGCGTGGTGGTCGGGTGGGTGCTGTAGCCGTTAGAGATGCGGTCCTCCTCCGCCATACGCTGCGGGGTCAGAGGTCAGGTCAGAAGGTCAGAGGGTCAGAGGGTCAGTCTGATCGGAAGAGCCAGGGAGGGAGAGCGAGGGAGGCCAGGGAAGGGAAGGTGAGCATTGATGAAAAGGGAGGGGTATCGTGAATGCAATATTTTTATCCGGGACAGTTGTGAAGCGGCCTAGCGGTTTCGGTGGCAATTAAACAAAAACAAAATCAAGATATAAGTCAGAGCACATGTCGATTGAGATACACAATAACGAAAAAAAAATGAATCACAACTTACAAGCAGCTGCCAACCTGAAACTGCTGACATAAAACATGATCAGTCAACACTGGATAAATCTAAAACGCGGCAAGATTATGTGGTTTGCATTGGCAGTTGACACAATGTTATCCCGCTGGCGGCGCTCCGTACCTGGGCCTCGAACTCGTCCCTCCTGAGGCGCCGTTTCCTGGCGCCCGGGCAGAGCGGACAGTAGCGACAGCGGCCCGTGCGGAACAGGTACACAATCCACAGGATCAGCCCCAGCGCCAGCACAGGGATACCGGCGAACAACAGGATCTGGTAGATCATCATCTGCTGCTCGCGCCGGTGGCGCTCCAGCGGCATCTCGAACTCGCGCGGCTCGCGCACCGTGATGTAGAAGAGGCCACCGTATAGGGAGAGCGCCAGCCCGCCCAGGAAGAACAGGATGCCCAGCACCACTGCAGAGAGAATGGACGGGGAGGAGGGGGAGGGGGTGCAAATGAGACTGCAGATCTGCACAGGTGCACAACAAAGTTTTTCTGTTGTAAAACTTTGGGTTGGATTGGTAAATAGCTAACTTGCATTTATACTTTATAGGATAAAAAAGTAATGGCCTTCAAGGCTTGAACCAATAATTAATGATTTCAAAACAGAAAAAAAAGTGTTTGCAAATAAAAAATGAGGAGCTAATTGATTTTCTACCCATGAAAGCCTTATTAGATCCCAGCAAAAGTTAGATAGGCATTCTCATATGCCAAGAGAGATTAATTTTTGCAACTCACCAATTGTGACATTTGCACATCGTTTCGGGTTCAGCGACGCGTAGCTGACGTTGTCCAGGTAGCCCCTGTTGCGGCCGCCGGCCGGCACAGTTGTGCTGTTGTACACACCGCCAGCCTCCATGGCTCGGCTGTCAGATGGTGTAGAGGGCTAGGGCCCAGACAGAGGCCTTATAATTGATCGGGGATGTGCTGCACAGAAGAAAAACAGCTGAAAGCAAGGAAGAAGAACCTGTGTCAGTGAAAGAACAACTGCCTCATAGCCTAATTAACAGTGTCAGTGTCCTTGTGGTCAGAAGCTAGGTATGAATTGCTACAGCACTAGACATACCTATGAAACTCCTGACAGGGATGGTCTGGGCTTGTAGGGAGTAACTGCATTCATCTGAAACCCATTTGTGTGGGGCAGGCCAGGTTATCATATATATATATATATATATATATATATTTTTTAATAAATTTAGTCCGAACCTTCTGAATGGAAGGAGTCACAAGGACAGACAGAGACACCGCTAAGCGATGCTTGTTGCATTGACCCTGACCTCTACCCTCCGATCACGCAATTCCAGTTCTATAACAGAATTTAGAGTTAAAAGTTTAACGTGCGCACATAGCCGCGCACGGCCGGTCCCCTCACTGACTTCGCCTGGCTACGGCCTGCCACCAACCGCAACCATACCTGTCGGGAGGCCCATAGGTAAATGTCAAGCGCTCATCGCGCTTCAAACCCTGACTGATGTACCCGGGAACATGTGCTCTCACCATGCAGAGTCCAACGCTCTACCAACTGAGCTACGGGACCGGCTACAGGACCGGCATATGATACAATGATGGACATGCTAAGATTTGATGACATTTTCCAGCTACCCAGCGGCCAGCATTGCTCCCGATCAGATGACGGGTTGGTGCCGGCTCATCAAGCTCTCCTAATCATGGGGCAGGGTTCAGCTGTCAATCTGTGCAATCAACCACTCAAGCTTAATTTATATGAGCCAGGCTCAAAACGAATTGAAGGAATGACACAAAATGAAATACATATGTAAGAGAACACGAGGTTTTACCTATCATGCATGAGGGAGATGAAGTGATTGATGTAAGAACTTCGGAAATTATCTACCTATAACCTATCTACTTGTCAAATCAGTAGGTGGAACTATGGTCATGAGTACCCAAATATAGGAACGTTCCCATTTTTGGGAACGGAGTTCCCAAATATGGGAACTGGCGTTCCCATTTATGAGAACGGAAGGTAATTTTTCGGCCGTTCGCCCACTAAAACTCATTAGTGCATCACGTCTCAAAAAAGTGCACGCTAATTTAAGTATCTACTAAGTCTCTATAAAATTATCTTTAATCTGACCGTTGAACAAGGAAATTGACCGTCGAATGATATTTTTTATGATTTTTTGAAATGACGGAATGGTGAAAACATGGCTCATACTACATTTAACTTGCAATTTTAAGGAAAATGAAGCGTTTTTTACATTTTGAGGTCAAGTATAATAATTTTCGCCTGGTTATGAAGTTTCATACTAGCGACACCAGATGCTGACATATGCAAGCGAACACGTGGACACAAGGTATATAAAAACACTCGCGGACAGTCCCGGGGTAATATTGTTGACATTTGGTGTCGGGGCGCACAACCGCATGGAACGTCAGTGATTTTACCGAACTACTGTTGTAAACTCAGTTTCAGTGGTTTAAAATTATTCAGCTCTATTTTATCATCCCGGAAAGACATTTTTTTTTTGGATGCTAGCTGTTTAGAGTTGTTTTATAAGGAGCGTCATGAGCGTGGTTTTTGTCTTCCGTGTTTCTAAGCGTGATCGTTTTGGGGGAATTTCTCTTATATAGGTCGCTCTGTGTGGCTTATTTATAATTTTTATGCTGATTTCGATCATTCCTCGTGCCCATCCTACCAGGCCTTTTGCCACTTACACTCATCAAGAAAGGAAAAACTAGATTTTCATTGGGACTAGGTGTTTTGAGGGTGTAACATATTCAGCGTTCCCATTTTTGGATACTTCCTTGTGCTCGTCAACTATCGGTGATAAACAGACAGGTGCTTGACATGTCTCCACCCTCGGCGCGGACGGTGGATATAGGTATGGAAGACCTTGTTGAACATCGCTGAGCGTTGTGAATTACGTAATCCTGCAGAGGGGGGCGTGCCCGCTGCGAGATCGACGGGAATAAAAGCGCAGAAGACCGGGCGAAACATGCGACGGTCTTGCCGGAAAGGTCATCTGATGATTGTTGCGTTAACAATAATTGGCGGCGTTGGACGTGATGCTTGTTAATGAAAAGAGCCCCTGAAAGGCGTCGGTGAAATCGTTCCCAATTTTGGGTACGCCGTTCCCATAATAAGGAACGCTTGCAGCGCCAGTGTACGAGAGCGTTCCCAAATTTGGGCTCGCGGCCCGGATGATGGACTGCTTTAGAAGTAGGGGAACGATTTGAAACTACGATGGGCCTTACAATATCAAACTCTTTCCCAACAATATTGAGACAAATATCAGGCTGTTCACGATCGTTTTATATTTTTTGGACGTCATTTAACGGTTCTTTTTCTTGTTTTAAATAATGCCTACATGGCGTTCCCATATTTGGGTTTATCGTTCCCAAACATGGGAACGAAAATGCGTTCCCGAAAATGGGTACGCTTGACCATATCCGCCTACTGAAATGTCTTCTACTTGATCAGATGAAGAGCATCACTGATCTAATATGCATGAGAGCACATACAAATGTAGCAAATTTTATCATCGTTGTCATTGTGCTAGTGCTTAGTTCTGGAAATTATTTAAATTATGATAACCGACCCTGGGCCACAATCTGCAACCGCAAACTTGAACTTGAACTTGAACTGTGAAAGGCGACAACATCCAATCGGTACGTGGAAAACTTATGTCTATTGGGGTTGAAGAAAATCTTACCTGCTTTTTCAGGTTTCACTCATAACTATGCTTTCACCTGCTCCCTCTCTCTGCGAATTGTCCGCGAACCCTTAACCCTTTCGCAAATTCCCACACCCCGAAGAGAGCCCCTTGTTCTCTCGTTCGTTGTTGTGTATTCGCGAATACGCAGCCGAATTCCTACATAAGTGACGCAGCTGCTACGAACAACTACTGGTATTTGGAAATCGACCACTAATTCAAAATGGCCAGGTCCTTCACAATAAGTACCCATAACCATCGCGTTTTGAACGCCCTTCGGCTCCATTATCTAATGATCAATGATCGCCTCTTCGATTTAATAAATACATTACAACTATATCTAATACTAGCAAAACAAAAATTATAATATAAGTACCCATAACCATCGCGTTTTGAACGCCCTTCGGCTCCATTATCTAATGATCAATGATCGCCTCTTCGATTTAATAAATACATTACAACTATATCTAATACTAGCAAAAAAAAATTATAACTATTACACGGCGTACTGCCATAAAGCTCGTGGTCAAGCTCTCCTTCGCGAGCATACGGCTCGTAATGAAATTGCACTGCAAGCACGAGCCTTCAATCTTCATCACGTCCTCTTGTATCCATTGATATTTGATGACCACACATTTTAAAATCGTGAATAAGCTGTAAGCATTACCCTCTTAGTAGATCGAGTGATGGCTTTGCCTTTCCACCGCATCATTTCTCCTGTTTTTCATTTCCCTTGTTCCAGCATCCCCCCGTCAATGACGCCCTGTCTCAGGGCAAATAAAGACAGCATCCGTACCAAAGTGTATTTATTGTACTGGTATGCGTGCATCTCACACAGCGAGAGAGCAGCAAACGATAGACGAGGCCGGACTGGACAGACAGATTATATGGACGCGAGAGGTACCAACACCGAACGGGAAGAATGGGAGAGAGGGTAACCACAGACGGAGACACGGAGACACGAGGGACGCAGGCGGGGGGGGGGGGGGGCGCAGGGGAGACGGGCGGAGCGTCGTCGTAGGTGAAAATGGCGGATATAATCGCGTGAAATACGGCAGAACGAAACGCAAGCCGAACGAAATGAGCGAAACGAATCGACAGACAAGAACGGAACGCGAAGCCGACAAGAGGTGCGAATAAATGCGACAAAACCGGCGAGAACGCATCGCGAGCGCGCGCAGTTAGTGAACTGTCCGTGCCAGAGCCGTACATTGGCACTACGAAAATCGCAGAAAATTCAGCAGATTCAAATTCACAAAAGGTTAACAGAACAAATCGCAACAGCCCCGTCTCCTTAAGTGGTAGCCGACGCCAAATCATGCGCATTCCGAACCCACTTGAACGACAAATCGACCGAGAACGCGTCAAATTTCAACCAGACAAACGCTAAAATGCTCTAGCGCTCCCTTCGCAAACTATCCGTGCGCAACCGTAAGATACGGGCTATCCCCGCTATCGGCATTAATAGAGAACACACCGAAAGAACATCGACAGTTCGCGGACGCCAAAGATCAAAATAGCGCGCTCGAACGTCAAACGAAATACAGATCAACGCAGCGCTCTCCAAATAGGCCCCGTTGAAATCAGCAGCAAAGTTCCCACAAAAGAGCGAGCTCGAAGTGATTGTTCAAATCCCGAGAAATCAGCTTACAAATGTTCCCATATTGGTGATGAATCGCAGGCTAACGCCGTCTACAAAGTCAAAGTCGGATATGGAAAGTTAAAACGCGACGCTTGAAACGCGTAGCCGTTTGAAACCTGAACTTGACGCCGAAGGACGCATGTTTACTATGGCTATCCAAGATGTAAAAACAACGCAAAAATCCAAAAAATACAGCAAAATGGTCAAATTTCGAACTACCCCGTCGCCGCCACTCAGATACAAAGAACGCGATAGCCTACGCAGACGCGACCCCCTTTTCCGACGTCTCCCGGCGCAACTATCAGTTCGCCTTAGCGACACTAGATGTCACTAGTAGCGCTGGTTGGCGTACGCCCCAAACAGCGGGTTAGTTGGGGCCTGGCCGAGGCTGCTGGCCTGGGCGTTATACCCATACCCAGCGCCATACTGCTGTTGCTGATTATCCTGCTCCATTTTCAGCAAATTCGGACCGCTCGTGACCAGCGAGTCGATGGCACTTTTCACTCGGGACATGCCGGCTCCAGCGGCCGCGGACGGATCGGTAGTCGTCCAGGACTGAACCGGAGGGGGCGCCATCACGGGCGCCGGCACGGGGCCCGTCACGGGCGCCGTGCCCACCGGCAGTGAGGTGGGCTGCTGCGTCTTGTAGGCCTGCATCATGCTGAGTATCTTCTGCTGGAGGTCGATCTGCTGCTGGCTAGGAGTGGCCACCGAGACCACTGCCGCGCGACAGAGCGTCAGAAATCGGGGGCCTTCACAACGGGGGTGGGTCCGAGCCAAGAGCGGTAGACTACGATGTTCTATCAGGCAATGAAAACGTTACCGATAATGAAACGTACAATCGTGGCTGGAGAAAGAGAATAAATACCGCGGCAATTCCAGTGTGATGTAAAACCTTTTTACAAAGCAAAACCCGTGACACGACAAATCTACTAAACTTTTATGAAAGAGCGTTGCGTATGATTCAAAGCGATTGAAAAACGCAGCCAATAATACCAACACACGTTTAACTTCAAAAAATTCGCGAAGATCAGGCAAATTCGGCAAGCAAATATCTCCAATATTTCACATCATCGTCAAAACGAACAGGCGGTAAGACTATAAGCGATAAAAAGCGCTCTTCAAAAGAAGAATCCGCAGTGTTTCGCTGACACCAAGTTGTCCAAATTCGCGTCGTTAGAAAAAAGCTGAAAACTTACCGGGGGCCGGCACCGGCTTGGGTGCCATAGCGGCAATGGACGGCGTCAGAGCGCTAAGACTGCTCTTCTCGGGTTTGAGCTGATGGTCGCGCTTCTCCTCCAGATACCTTTCCGTAGAGCACAGTAGAGGTCACGCCGGGTGAATAGGAAAGGAGCCAGGCGATGTGGCGAAGGGTGAATGAGGAAGGCGACGCTGATAAAACGCTGAGCACGCGGGGTTGGGTGGGAATAAATGAATCAACTAATTGACAAAGGAAGACCAGCTAAAGTGTGAAAATGAAGGTGTTTGATCGACGATATTTCTTAGAAGAAGGACACTCATTCGAAGTAGAATTTCGCAGACTACTAACGATGGTGGAGGGTCCTGTGGCCAACCTTTCTAACCAGCCAGGTCCTGAAAACTAACAGCTAACCGAAGGAGTTCCGGCCAGAATTCAAGTCAGTACATCGGCCATGTCAAAGCTGGATCCGGTGGTTTCATGAACATTTTCTTTTATGGAAGAATGCACCCCACAAAACGAAAATACGGACGGTGCTCATAACTTGGAAAAGCGTTAAAAGTCCGATAAAATGCATCTCAAAACGAGAATCACGCGCCTAGCACGCCCATAAATGTGACCACTCCACACAAAATCCTTTCTCCACTATGTCACCGTTAAAAACCGACGAGTCAAATACATATGAAACGGATAGATTGCTGTTCGCCATAAAGGGAAATATCTGAATTCGGCAGAAGCATTTTCTTGGCCAAAATTTAATCCATATTGCGGTAAAGTAGCGCTTCAAACCAACGCCAAAACCACCAAAAGAGTCGTTTTGTAAAAGCCAATGAAATCATCAAGCGTCGTAAAATCAACAATAAAGACGGTCGCTCTCAAGTAGCTTTGAACGGAGCATCACGATAAACTCTAAAATGCGTTATCCAACGCGTGTCGCGACCAAACGCAAAAAGAACTACACCATCTCATACAAACAACTACGTAGTTTAGGCAATGAAAGTTTCTACGACTCATTGATGTGACCTACGACCGTCTGAAATTCGGAAAGTCTGCCAACAAAATTTGCCTGACCATTCTCCATCAATAGGACGCTCGATGTGCAGCTTCTCGAAATCGATTGCTACAATAAAATTTGAGCTGATAACTTGCCCTGTGTACAGCCGAAACCTTTAATAACGCCACGGCGACACGAAAAGTGGTTTGACGAAAGCTCGCATATCAGTCAAACTCAATTAGCCAAATCCAAACAGACGCGAAAAAGAGTCATTTAAGAGCGCGAGGACATGTCATAACGGACGTCCTTTAACTACGAAAAGACAGGACTTCTAGGCACTATCAAACAAATGCCAGAAAATGCGTATGAAAATACATCGTCACAAATTGCGACGCATTAACCTTAAAAAACAAAGTTAGAAGCTGTGGCAATTTTCTAACAACATGGACCCACAATCAAAAACGTCCCATCTCATCAAAGCTTGTCGCTCTGACAGTTCTTCAATAAAACTTTCCAATATTTTTGCTTCTCAATAAAAAGGATGGCTTCGTGTTCGCGACGTTTTGAAACCGCCAAAATGTCTAAGCGCTTAGAGGAGACGAGGAGGGGGTATGGGAAACGTTGGAGGGGAGTGGAAGAAGTGAGATCGTTCGGTGTAGACTTTCCAGACGAGCCACAGGACGGGGCAATGACAGGAGACAGACAGTGGATGGTGTGATCACAACCCAGACAACATTACATGGTTCCCACGAGCAAGGGCACATACCGCACACACAATCACAGATTATGCTGCACCATCACAATGCGCAAATTGGAAACCAGACAATGATACAATCACTTTCAACAACGCACTACGAAAACGCTGTAGGAAAACAAACGAAATACGTGAGCGGCCGTAACCTATCTTCCACACCCAGTGTCCTGATTTTCGTGAATTTGGGTGGAAACCCACACCCGAACAGATTCTCTTTGCGACGTCCCGGAAAGCTAAACGACGTCCCTGACAGATAAAAGTCGACAGGTATATCGAACACCAAAAGCAAACAACAAAAAGAAATATCACCTCTGTGGCCTAAAAACACGGCTATGCAAAATCACAATAAATATATCCCAAGGCCTCACAAACCCACTCTTATACTCAACTCCCCTTTCCTACACCGCTGGCCAACTGCCATAACAATAAACAACGCGGTTTTTTCGTTTTCTGTGCGTCAGGTATGGATATATTTTTTCCTTTACCATGTGAAGGTAATAGCTGCCATATGAAGGAGAAAAGATGTCGGAATAGAGGGAACTGTGGACGTCGTTTTCCACTTTTCAGTTTAAGTAACTGTGCAGTGTATAGATAAAAATTAATCATGCGAATATATTGCTTCGACATTTATCTATAAGCACACAACATACCTTTTGTATCGAATCACTGTAACATATTTAATTATTTTTTTCCCTCAGAAGGTCACAGTAACGGGGTAGCGCTGCCCCTCGAGCATGCACTTCAAAGGCAGTTAATTTTACATGTGTTGATACTGGTTGTTGAAAAAGTTTATGTTAATTTGTTTGAATTAAAATAACGTTATCGAATTTCAACAATTTTAATTTAAGTATGCCGTCCTTGGCTTGAAAATACACGCAATGTTGGGGACGTCGATTGACCTTGTCATTCCCGTTTAATCGACGTCGGTACAAAACTGAAAAGTGCACAATGATTTCACATTTTTTCCAGCCAAGAAAAATTCGGCGTCTACCTTGGAGCTTTCTTAATTGAATTTCATAACAGGAAGCCATGGAAATTAATTTTCCTAACTGTTTTCCATCTCTTTGTTTGGACGTCTGTTTTTACGTCACTCCTCTTGCTCGATATAATATCCCTCCTATGACGTCAATATTTGGAGATAGCCGTTGACTCTTGGGCTGATTTTTGTTGAAGCATATTTGTTGTTGACTGTTGTGTACGATCATGGGCAAGAACTAAACATCTTCAAAGTGTTGTTTTTGTGTTTGGGTGAATAATTGAATTTTGTATTGTACTAGGGGTAAACTGGCATTACTTTGTGTCTATATATGATTGATCATTTGAGGTGCCTTGAGGTGCTATTATTAAAAATTGCCAGTGAAAATAGCTAATTTCAAGAGATTTAAGGGATCTTCAGTGGCTTAGGCTCCGCACCGATATCGACGTCCTTTTGAAATAGTGACGTCCTTGCGGCCTCAATCACACTCTCCGAAAAATCAATTTCAGGACACTGTCCACACCGATATGAAGTTACGAGAACCATGATATCAACTTCGCTAAAGCAAAACGATTGGAGCTATCACAGTAGTCTGTTGAGCTATCAAAAATAACACTTCCCATTAATTCGGAAGTACATACGCAGCATCTACCGGCTCCTCACTTACCATTCTCACCTCCCCGCGCGCGCGCGCGATCTCACCTGATGAGTCGGTTGTACTCGACGGCGGTGAGCGGCCGGTTCTCGCGCACAAAGTTCAACAGGTTGATGATGCCCTGCGGCGGCGCCTTGTCCTTGTTGGACAGCATGTAGGCCTCGAAGTTGCGCGCCACCAGGCTCATGGCGTCATCCAGCGGCATGTTGCGGTGCTCTGGAGGGGAGGTCGGGCAGCGGGTTATACGATGTGCACTGCTATCGTTGCCATATATTTACATTTTACCCTGTGAGTTTTCTTTTAACCCGCGCGGGGCTGGGGGGGGGGGGTAAATTTTACCCACCCTCGAGAATTTTTGCAATATCTCGAAAACGGCGGCGCGCAGCGCCGCCAAACTTTCGGTACCTTTTTTTACATCAATTTGACACGTTCCCTGAAAATTTGAGCGAAATCCCCCGGAATTTTTGTGAGAAAATGACGTTTTAGTGACGTCATGTTCGCCATTTTCGCCTCAAAAACGGCAAAATTTCAAACGCCGCTAACATCTTCATTTTTAAGGGAATCAAGACGTAACAAAAAAGGTTATACGTGATTCTACTTTGTCTATCAAATGGCCATCTCGTTTTTTTTTTAATTATTTTGGCCCAATTTTTTTTTCAAAAAACTGAATTTTTTGGGAAAATAATTATAAAATCCAAAAATTTGCGTGTATCGAAAAAACCGGAACATATGTCAGAGAAGTGGTATATGTGCACCTACATACCAATTTTTAGAAGAATCGGTTCAAAAATGTGGAAGTTATTCAAAATTTCATGACGTCACGACAAACAGATTTTTTGAAAAATGAATTTTTTGGAAGTTCTAGACCTCGTACGGAAACAAAAATAGCACCATTCGATTCGCCGTGAAAAACTGCATCAGAGAGACACCTTTCTAGGCCTTAACAACCAAATTCAAAATTTGACCTCACTTGACCTGACCTTGACCTGACCTCGACCTGAAATTCATCCAGATGTGGTCCATATCACCTATTGAGTGTGCCTATTGAATTCTATGAATAAAATGACCCATAAAACATGTGTCGCACATGCCCTTTTCTATATTTTGTTTTTGGTGACCTGACCTGACCTGACCTGACCTTGACCTTGACCTCTGAATGATATTGTATGCAAGGAATATTGGTCTTGGTAGCCTAAGAACACGTTTTGGGTAATCAGTCTCAGTCCATGACTCCATTCTTCGTCAACTACGGTGCAAGGCCGATACTGTGGAAACTTTCAATTTGTACCCTTGACCTGACCTTGACCTTGACCTCAAACTTTAAATTAAGTACATGTTTTTAGGTGTTCGTGATGAGATCTTTCGATTGGCGTTTGAATTTTCCAAATCGGACCATTAGTTCGGGAGATAACAGGGGGGGGGGGGAAAATTTACCCCCCCCCCAGCCCCGCGCGTTCGGCTGGAGACCCCAGCCCCGCGCGGGTTAAGAAGAATGCTGCTTATTCCCCATTCCAATACACTCCAAACTCCCACTTCCATTTCTGAGTCAGGTTGTGCTCGCTGACACCCCAAACGGCAAAGAAACTTCGTCGTCCGGGGGTATCGAAGAGCAGAGCCTAGGTCAGATAGCTTCTGAGTAATGAACCTCTTCAAGCAGCTTTCCCTTGTTCAATTGACATTTATTCCATCCACAGTATCTACTCCTTTAAGCAGATACTGCATATCTATTCCCCATTCCACCCGTTCTAGACTTAACCGGCGGCGGTTTCCGTGCATGATGTTCAGAGACACCAGGGCGCGGGTGTTGTAACTGTCAGTTTGTGAACACGTTTCTGACTCACCCTGCGGCGGGTTTCCGTGCATGATGTTCAGAGACACCAGGGCGTGGGTGTTGTAACTGTCAGTTTGTGAACACGTTTCTGACTCACCCTGCGGCGGGTTTCCGTGCATGATGTTCAGAGACACGGAGCGATGTTGCTCGTTGGTCGGGTGGACCACCACGGCGTACAGCGTGCCGCGAGACGATATCTGGTCCAGCACCTACCGGCGAAAAAAGATGAGCACACACAAACGGGGTGTTAGATGAATATGCAGTCGAAAGAAGTCGCAGACTGAAAGGGTACGTAAAGGCGGTATGCTGAAACAATAAATCGGTTAATCGGTTTACCATTATGAGCAAAAACGTCATATGACAAACATGGATGTCATAATATCGTGGAAAATGGCACAACGTCCCAGACTCCGAACCATCTCAGTCCTCAACCCAGCAAAATAATAGTACAGGGACCCGCAGTTGCTACTGTACACGAACCCCAAGTCTAACCGTCTGTCCTGTCCAGTAACAAGTGATAACATTGATATCGACTGCCCGTCCCTGTATAAGACCAGCTGAGGTTTTCTGTGCGTGCCCTCTGACAGCTTATCGTTGTTCCCTGTGAGGGTGCCGGGACAATATACTCAGGGTCGCTGTACAGTAGCAACTGCGGGTCCCCGTACCAATCAATCTATAATATTATGACCTGGCATCCAGTCCAGACCCAGAATATTCACAACCACAGCTTAACGGTCGTCTTCACGACAAACACCTCCTCACGCTCGCTCCCAGTCTTTATCCAAGTCGAACACCTCGTCCCCAAGGGGGACGTGGGTGAACTTACCTGATTAATTGGCGCCCCGGCTCGCGGGAACAGCATGTCCACTGCCAGTCCCACGTTCTTCAGCCGGTCCTCCACCTCCTCGGCGTACGGCCTGAACGTGAGGAAGGCGAGGGAGGTCAGATGAATTACACGACTTCTGCGCATGGCCGAAACATGGGGAAGGAGAGGGAGGTCAAATGCTGAGGTTCTTCAGTCGGTCCTCAACTTCCTCCGCGTAGGGCCTGAACGTGCGGAAGGGGAGGGAGGTCAGAAGCTGACATTGTTATCGCATGCCCTGAACAGCTTGGGTAAGAGCTGGGGGTGGGGGCGGGGGGGGGGCAATGCTGATTGCTGAACTTAACACGCGCACCGACGGGGGGGCGGATATCCGCCCCCCCCCCCCTGAGGTTTTTCGCGAATAGCGGGAAAACCGCGGCGCGTAGCGCCGCGAAATTTTGTACGACTATTCTCTCATCAATTTTACACATGGTGTGCAAGTTTGAACCTCCTAACCTTTAAGGTCAGGTCACCAGGTCACTTTGAATGACCCAACCTCAAGTCACTTTTTTGCAACTTTGTCACCGTGCCAGAGCTACAATAGATGTCGGAGGCCTTTGAAAGTCGCAGGATGTTATAAGGTCATTAGTAGCTACAATTTCTATATCTCGGAATTTTGATATCGATGACCTAAGGTCAGGTCAATTTCTCGACCTCCCCATTATAAGTCAATGGGGGAAAAATCAACTCCCTGTTTTTACCACTAAAACGGGTCGGAATGGCCCCACAAACCATAAATGACCTCATATACGATCAACCTTCACTACCTTGAGGTCTGTTTTGCTGTTGGGCAGCTGTAAGGTCATGTGACGTCATCAAAGGTCACCAGCGGTTTTTTGACAATAACTCCGTACAGGAACAAGATACAGCCGCGCGGATGGTCTCATTGTGTTCAGCTCGTCAAGGCGCATCGAATGATATACATGATGACCTCGAGGTCACGTGACCTGAGGTCAACCTTTGACCTTGACCTTTCGAGGTCAACATATATATCATTCGATGCGGATTGACGAGAGGATCACGATGCTGCCCTTAGTTTGTTCCTATATTGACTAGTTCAAAAGTTATTCGAGAAAAACTCTCCATACCTAGCGCCGCCATTTTGACTTTTTGACCCCTGTGACGTCAGCTTTGACCTTACCTGAAAATGACCTTAGTAAAAATTGTAGACCTTGTCCGTGCGTATCCCTTGCCGTTTACCGCTTGTCGCTATCTTGCTTCGTTCTCGAGATCTCAGGGGGGGGGGCGGTCATCCGCCCCCCCCCCCCGTCGGTACGAAGTTGGCGCAGACCCCCGTCGGTGCGCGGGTTAAGTGTGGAGGACTGAGATATGGCAGTCAAACGTTCCTTTGTGCATAGTTTGACAAAGAAAAGCACTACTCAAATTACCGGCCGTCCCTTAACACGCGCACTGCAGCGGGTCTGAGCCGAACACGAACTGCAGGGGGGGTTGAAAACAACCCCCCCCCCCTGAGATCTCGAAAACGGCGCAACGTAGCGACAAGCGGTAAACGGCGTTGGATAGGTTGAGATGAGATCTACAAGAAATACAAAGATCATTTTTGGGTCAGGTCAAAAACGAGGTCAGCAGAGGTCACCAAACTCAAAATGTCGCGATTTTTAGCGATCTCGACATCCCTCCATATTTCCCGCTTTATCTCGGGAACTAGATGAGCTAGAAAGTTGCGAAAAAAAGTATTCGATAGCTGTTGAAACGCTCTTTCGCTAGGCTGTCCTCAGATTTGACCTAACGTCAACGGTTTAGCCTATAGAGGTCATGTAATGTCAGATCAATATTGCAAATTTTCCGGAAATGCTTTTTCTGCAATAACTTTTCTTCCCAAAGAGATAGAGAAATAATTCACACACCATCGTTCTTAGCTCGTCAAGGCGCATCGAATGGTATATAATATGACCTCGAAAGGTCAAGTTCAAAAGTTGACCTCAGGTCAAGGTCATGACCTGACCGAAATACGTCATGTTGCACATCATTCGATCCGCATTGACGAGACAAACACGATAAACGTCGAACGGAGTCTCTATCTCTATTCAATTAAAAGTTATTGAAGAAAAGCCGTTGGTGACCTCAGGTGACCTGAGATCGAGGTCATGTTAGGTCAAACATTGACCAAACTAGGTAAAGTTGCATCTTGATCGACGCGTCTTGATAAAATAAGCGGGATGGTGAAATAATGACGTTTCTATGTCCCATACTTCTCGAGTTATGTCCGAAATTGCATGCCGGGCCCCAAAAAGTGACCTGACCTAAGGTCACAGAAATAAAAATTTCGAAATATACAAAATGTTCCTTATGGTCTCCTTATATGTTTCTGAGAGTTTCATAGCATTCAGGCAAATGGTGTGGACTGTGGATGTAGCACAGCGTCAAACTTTTTATGAGGTGAGGTCACTTATCGTGACCTGGTGACCTGACCTTGCATGACCTAACACTAATTTTTTCAGAGGTGATGTAAAATTGTTTGATGAACAGCTATACAAAGTTTCAAAGTCGTAGCTTCACTGGTTTTTGAGTTACAGCGAAAAAACCAGAGGGGGGTTGAAAACAACCCCCCCTGCAGTGCGCGTGTTAATTTCTAGGCCCACCTTTGAGCGCGTAAGCTTTAAAATGTCAATAATGTCAACCTAGCTTCTCAACCATTATTAGCAGACACATTCGGACATATCGCAAAAGCGACCGCCGTACCATCTTCCCGTTCTAGGTAACTCACCTGTTCTTTCTGTCCAGCACGACGATCTCACAGTCGTTGGCCCGCTCATCCTCCACGGCCGAGGAGCGGACGCGGAGATACGGCGGCGGCGCTACGCGGCCCTCCTCGTACCTGAGGGTGGGGGAGAGAGGGAGAGAGAGAATGAGAATGAGAGTGAGAGTGAGAGTGAGAGTGAGAGTGAGAGTGAGAGTGAGAGTGAGAGTGAGAGTGAGAGTGAGAGTGAGAGTGAGAGTGAGAGTGAGAGTGAGAGTGAGAGAGAGAGAGAGAGAGAGAGAGAGAGAGTGAGAGAGAGAGAGAAGGGGTAAACGCAAGAACAGAGTCAGAGAGGAGTGGCTAATTTAGTTTTGAAAACAGTCTAAGAAAGTTTATTTTTATTTCATCTTAATAGAGTTAGGCACTAAAAATTTGAAGTATTTATCTACATTTCAACTCTCCCCAGAGTAAAGTCAATCCCGTTTCCCCAGTACCAGTCGAGGACACAGCCCGCTCGACTTGTTTCCCCGCCCGGCCCGCGGGGACAGCACAGTACCCTGGGGGAGTCTCGGGGACGGACTTACGGGGGCGGTCCGCCGCCGCGGGGACAGCACAGTACCCTGGGGGAGTCTCGGGTACACACTTACGGGGGCGGTCCGCCGCGGGGACAGCACAGTACCCTGGGGGAGTCTCGGGGACGGACTTACGGGGGCGGTCCGCCGCGGGGACAGCACAGTACCCTGGGGGAGTCTCGGGGACGGACTTACGGGGGCGGTCCGCCGCCGCGGGGACAGCACAGTACCCTGGGGGAGTCTCGGGGACGGACTTACGGGGGCGGTCCGCCGCGGGGACGCACAGTACCCTGGGGGAGTCTCGGGGACGGACTTACGGGGGCGGTCCGCCGCGGGGACAGCACAGTACCCTGGGGGAGTCTCGGGGACGGACTTACGGGGGCGGTCCGCCGCCGCGGGGACAGCACAGTACCCTGGGGGAGTCTCGGGGACGGACTTACGGGGGCGGTCCGCCGCGGTAACCACGTCGTCCGTACTCCTCCTCCTCTTCATAGTCATATCTGACGGAGAAACGTCAGCAGGAGTTACGTCTTGTCAGACAGATATTGGAGATCAAATATCAGATATTTAGCGTAATGGAATGGCCGTTCAATGCCAAACATCAGAAAGTTGACAGCAAAAAGCAAGGATTTGTAATTAACAGCAGGACGAGCTCTTATCATCAAAGGATGTGCATTCAAGATCAGACGGCAGACCAGAAGTCACACAGCATCACTCACTGCTGAGACTTTTTCCACCATTGTTCGTTTGATATCTTTAGTCTCCTATCTCCCCTCTCATCGCTCCTAGCCCACTCATCCCCCTATTCCTCCATCTCTCTCCATCCGTCCCTCCCTTCCCTTCTTCAATCCATCTCCTTATCTACTCCCTCCTTGCATTTCTCCCTTCCACTCCTCCCCCTCTCATACCTGCGCGGTCCGCGTCCGTCCCTGCCGGGGGGCGACCAGTCACGTCCGGGCGGCCCGCGCGGCCTCTTGGCGTCCGGGGGACCGTCGTCGTGGAACGGCGGCATCGGCGGCCGGCCTCTGCCGCGGAACCCACCACGGAACCCGCGCGGACCTCCGCGCATCCCTCCGCGAGGTCCGCCCCGCATCGGGCCGTATGGTCCGTCGAACTCGTCTTCGTTAGGATAGCCCGACTGGAACTTGAAGTTCTTGACGGCAGTCCTGAGGACTGATCAGGGAGGGGAGACCGAGTTAGAGGTGGTGATCCAGGTCAGGTTGGCAAGGCGCTTGTGGAAGATGACAAATATGCTTGATGTCAAAAGTGGCAAAAATGAGGAAATATCGTAGGCAATAATTCTTCTCACTTAATCTGTCATTCATTATCCAACAAAACAATCACTACGTTTCCATGGCACATCTAAACCACTTGAAGAAATTTCAAGAGCGTTTTTCTAGGATACTATTCACTTAATGCAAAAAAAAAATGAGCGTATACATGGCTTAAGCTAGCACATAATCCTCCACTTACAATTTTAAATGATGCCGAAATTCTATGATGGAGCAAATCCATTTTGCAAAATCGGCTTAACTTGTGCCATGGAAACTTAGCTATTGTCATTTTTAGGGCAAGAGAGCAACGCTCATTGGGCTCATCAAACTCACCGCAATTGACGCCGTTAATGGTTCTGTTCGCTCCGTCTTTGAGAGCCGCCTGGGCCTCCTCTTCTGTCTTGAACTGGATAAATCCGTACCCACGGTACACCTTCATAGCTGAAATCAGAGAACAAGCAAAAACTCATATGTGAAAAATCGGAACAACACACCAGCTATGTGTAATGTGAGTGGTGGAGGGCATCCCACAGTGAAATGGGTCCAGAGATATTCTAGTTTACAAATGGACGAAATCTCAATATCATATAGACGTACCAATTATAGGTATAACATGAGGATATGAACAGTACTAACTTTCCCATTCAAAACCAAATCTCTTCACATATGCATCTACTACGAAGCTGACACATCGCCTTTCATCTCAATCTTCCTTTCCAGCTCCAACCCATGCCCCACAAACACACCTGACACAGCCCCGCTAGTCGCTACTTACCGATCACCTCTCCGAACTTTTTGAAGAACTTCTCCAGCGGTTCAGGGTCCATCTCGGGGTTGATGCCGCCCACATAGATACGACAGTTGGCTGTCGCCGGATCGCTGGTGATGCGACCGCTGTCCATGGCTGGTGGGTTCTGCTACCTGGAATAGGGTGATGGAGGTGGCAAGAAGGGCAGTTCTGTTAAATCTGTTATTAAGAGAGAATGGAAGCGGAGCTAACAGGGATCCCTCTGGGACTCCGGATATCACCGGCTGCCATTGACAGGTTTTGCCGTTCACTCAAACCCTTTGGCGTCTGTCGGACAGATATGAGATGGACCATTTTAGAGTCATGTTGTGCACATGAAAATAATTTTTGAGTTTGTAGATGAGAAGTTCGTGGTTTATGCTTTGCAACGCGGCCGAAAAAAAATCCGTGTAAATGGCATGTATCTGACATCCATCCGAACTGCCACGCTGAACGTAAATACACAGCAAGATTCGTCACGCATGTGGGCATAAAGCCGTGCTGTATCGAGCAAATGGCAGGTGACACATGCCTATACAACTGGTCATACACTAGGCGTTCCAGCACTTTACTAAACAGCGGCAGTAATGATACTGATCTGTTATTTGATGAAACTTTTCTCACTGCTTTGAAAATCGAAACATTTGCACTTTTCCAGCACTTAGGGAAGACGCCTGACGACACTGAAACCCGACACAGTAAAGCTAGAGGCACGGCTAGTTCATTTGCGCACTGCACTCCACTACAATCCGAGCGCTCACATTGTCTGGGCCGCACGCTTTGTACGGGGATGCCGCATTGAGTGCGACCAGAACAGCTCGTCGGTGACCCGAAAGTGGGTGATATTGTCAAGGCCGTACTCCGGCGGGGGTGGCGGTCGGGCTCGGTTTAAAGGGCCAGTAAATTTGGCCGCGAACATTGAGCAGAACGGGCATAAGCAGCTAGCACAGGTCCCTGGGGAACATTATTGGTCCCCCAAAGCCATATGATTTTAGCACCTCTGACCAGCCTAAGACGGTCAAGCCAGACTGCAAAACGTGGCAGGTTTCGACGAGACCTCAGGCGTACACGGGGCCTCCATTAGCCCTCCTCGGGCGTGCATTACAAATCTCAGGCATGCAATAACGAATCAGAGAGTACATGCCTGGAGAGCTCTTGCTCGAAGCTTGCTAATGAAACAAACGTGAAATGTGCGGACGGAAGGAAGTGTACTCAGCTCATGCACATTGGACATCTGTGAGAGCACTCAGTGCTGTTCATTGGGATTAAATGTGCGAGTGTGACAGAATGATTCCAGCATTCCCACTGCGGCTGGCATATACGGGAGACGGGGAGGAACATCCGGGCTCTGATTGGACGGCGGACCTAGGTTAAAGGTTTCTCTCCCTGACACTTTCAGTTTCAGTGCTGTCTGCCTACAATGTTCAATATCATTGTGCTTGTGCGGGGCATGCAGACTTGAACTTGAACTTAAAACGCTGCGTGCCAGGCACACAGGCCAGGCAAGGCAAGGAGTGATGGGTTATGGAGCAGGATAACAGTGAAATGATGAACTGAGAACATAAATAATGAAAAATGAATGCTAGCAAAAAGCAGGCTGTAACAATGGAACCATAATAGCGCTACATTTAAATATCATTTGGAACACCATGCATTGGCAAATCAACTTCAAATTGAAGTCACTGATCAAGATCCATACAGGCCAGCACCAGCACTTCAATAGCTATACGCTTAAAAATTAATTTATATAAAATAGAACCCACCAATACCACCAAAATATGGGACGACGGTGAAAACAGGGCGCCTGGGGCGATTTGATCAAGGTTCGTGAAATTCACACGTGACGTTTAGAATGTAGAAGGCAAGCAGAAGGCCCACGGAGGGGGAGAAGTTCTAAATGTCACGTGACTAATATGCCCTCCGGCGCCCTGTTTTCACCGGCGTCCAAAATATGGTCGCGGTCTATACGCAAACAACCAAGGGTTTATAATTGAGCAAAGTACCTGTTTAATATGTCAATAAATACTGCTCATCGACAAAATGTTATCCTACCATTCGTCAGTTTTGCTACTCGAATGCAAAGCTTGAAGAAAAGAACAGGAAAAGAACATAAAGCTAGGCGTGTAGCGCCCATTATGCGTCCATCTGCAGCGTACATGGCGGACATGTAAAAATGTGGGATATGTAAAAATGTTAAAAATATAAAATTTACGTCTTATGAAATACAAATAAAATTTAAATTTGTTATCTCTAGTTTAAGATAAGGGTATTTTTTGAAAAGTTGATATAATTTTTGATAGCTGTCTGAGAAATGTGGATCAAAACTGACAAAGTTATCTAATAACGACCAGCAAAAATAAGAGTTTAGCTGAGTTGTGCTGATTTTTAAAAACAAATATCGTTTTTTCTCTTCATATATAAATGTATGAAACAGAATACTGACTGATATCAAACTCATTTTGCTTGGAGATTGAGTATAAAGAAAGTCAGCTGATCAAGAGAAGGACAGAAAGTGGCGCATCGATTTGTTTTTAGCCACCCCTTTTATTTCAGTCCTTGTGCGGCGGGGGGTGGTGTGTGTTCCCGTTGTTCGGTATTTAATCAGATATAATGTTTGATTAAAAACTCAAGTGTGTAATCGTGTGAGTGAAGCAACTGTTTTGAAGAATTGATGCATCGGATGCATCCATTGATTTTCCGGCTTGCGATAGTGGAAGAGGCATAAGCTGATTTGCGCCTTGTTCGAGATCGTGTAAGTTAAGCCATGGATGAGATAATAATATCTTTCTAGTTGAGGTTTCTTTGCCATGGGGTCTACAGTGCAGGGATATTTCTATCTCGCACTCCTCTGAGATGCAGAGATAAGAATTTGTTATCTCTGCATCCCTCTGAGATGCAAAGATAAGGTCTCGAGGGTTCATAGCCAAAAATCAAGAGTTCAAGTGATGATGGCTCAATAACCGAACGACATTTTTAATGGTTGTTTATGGATGAAACTTATGAAATAAGAACAAACTACTCTGAATCTATTTTACATGGATGAATGCATTGAAATATATTATTTTCTTAATTAAGAATAAACCTCAACATAGAAAGATATAGGATTCCTCATGGCTCACTCGTGGAAGATCGGATATCTTTTCCTCGCGTGTTACAGAAAAACCTCGCTCCTTCGTCGCTCGGTTTTTCAGTAACCCGCTTGGAAAAGATATCCTTATCTTCCACTCGGAGCCATGAAGAATCCTCTATGGATTGGTGTCTTCGCAGTTTTTGGCGACATTGAGCTCAGGCCTGCCATCTAGCGGGAGAATTATCGTAAGTTAGGAGCAAGCCGAGTGAACGCCGCTGATTAGCATTGTGGCACACGGGAGTGTGGTGTAGTAGCAGGCTTATTGTGCAATTTTTCAAAAGGTTATGTCTTTATATTTCAGTAAAAGTGAAGAAATTAATAGATTTATGTACAGGGTCAGTAATAAGATAAGCAGTTCCATGTTATTTCCTCATTAAATCGTGAAACAGGGAGTTATTGGAGACTTCGCTAGCACGTGTCGTTTTCGCCAATTTTAACATGAGTCTTTACTTGGCCTAAATCAAAGAAATTGTCCGATCAAAGAACAAAACGAACGTAAGTACTATCTATAAGTCTAATGAAAAAACTTAAACGGAATTGCTAACGTCATTGCCGCTCAATATGTCATTCAAGACGCTGTATGAAAAGGACCCAACCACAGTGCTGCGTAGTCGATGAAATTTCAGTGACTTGGGCTCCAACTCCGATTCCGGTATCCAAATATCGACTCCGACTCCTCCGGGAAGAACTGTCGATTCACACAGACTCCGACTCTGACTCCGACTCTGCAGCCCTGGTAAGTCTGTGGAGTCGATGACTTTTCGGTGACGTTCGACTCATACTCCGATTACAGCTTTTAAAAATCAGCCGACTCCGAGTCGGAACTGAACCGCTGGCTCTGACTACAACTCCGCAGCCCTGGCCCATGAAAGCCGCCTTAAACAACTTTGATGTGTGATATTCTTCGTACATTGTTAATGTTATTTTAAACAAGGGGTGGAAAAGGGAGACGAAGCCTTCACAAACAAGGATCTCCTGTTGCGAATCAATCAGCTGCTGGAACAGAAAGGCATAAACACCACGCATCTCATTTCATCGTTTTCCTAACAGCTCTGCACCAATGTAAGCACTGATCACTGCAGTGCGAGCATCGATGTGACATTTGTGTACCCAAGTTTGAGTGTTATCCGCCCAGCCGTTCTTGACATATGGAAGCGGCACCTTGCACGTGCGCACGTGCAGTAGCACCCCCATAGTGGAAATGCATTGGCCACTGGGTGCCTAACTATTGACGAAGTTTTACTGTAATTGGCCCAGCCATTGCGGAGTTACTTTATGTGGAACAGTTTCGACACCCCTAAGCTGGCACGTGGCACGTGCCGTAACATTACCTAAGATGAAGAAAATCGGGCGAAATTCGGAGAAGAAGGAATAAGCCTACCAAATATGCATGTGACATTTTGTCAAACTGCTGTACCTTTGTGAGTAAATGACCATATAAAAGGTCGTACAAGCCGATGGGACTGGGCGTTTCAATACACACCGTCTTACGCATTTTATTTTCGTTATTTCCTAAAGGCTGCTTGACGTTTTTGGCTTTCAAGCATTTAAGACATTTTTTGTCGTCTCAGGTCCAGTAAGATTACCTCCAACTCGTGGGAATATGCACTTCAAGCCAACTAACACACCACACCCACGTGTGTCATAATGCTGAGAAATGGCGGTCACTCGGCTTGCTCCTAACTTACGATAATTCTCTCGCTAGATGGCAGGCCTGATCCCAATGTCGCGGATCCCAATGTTAATTTTCACGAGACACCAATCCAGTGTCATATCATCCATGGTTAAGCCCATTTTTTATTCACCATCATGATCAGATTGAGTTGAATCGAACTAAGCTGAGGCAAGGGATGTTGATGGAAAATCACTTTTTTAGCTTAGAATCAGATTTGAATCAAATCTACTGATTTTGTGGTGGCAGTATTTGCATTGGCATTGCATTCCACATTCAGGCATGATTCTGATTCACTGGATCACTTTTCATGAACTGGGTTCAAATGTCTAATGTTTCATTACATGTGGTCCAAAGGTATAACTTCACAGGTTACATGAGAACTTAAGTGCACCAGGTTGAAGTGAGCTGCAGGAAGTGATGCTACAGGCTGAGGTGCACATTTAGCACAATACTGAACAGATGCCCAGTCGATATCATATTTTTTTTTTTTTTATCTACTGAAGGCTCAAGTCTGAATCATCCAGCAGTACCCAACTCCTGAAGCAAGTCCCGTCGTTTCCCGGCAGGTGGCGCAGGGCCGAGCGATGCAGGAGTTTGTAGCCCCCGAGCTGGCTCAGCTGCTGCATCGCCTTCCGCATGTCAACACGTCCCTACAGCCAGTGTCGGCGCAGTTCAACCTCTCCAGCGCTAGCTATAAGGAGGTAAGGCCTGGGCGCCATGTAAGTCCTTCAGGTGCCTAATGAACAAGGCAGTGAAGCGGCTAGGTCATTCCGAACACTACACAGCCAACGTCTTTCAGGGGTTTAATACTGTGTAGTGGCCCCTGGCCACACAACACAAGTATTGAAAGTTATGAATTGGCTTGACAGTGCAGAACAATGCATTGAGCCCAGTTGGTGTGTATATGAGGATGAAGGTGAATGTTTTAAATCCAGACTGAGGAATCATGGATTTCCAGAGGTATATTCAGAGAAGTGAGGGCTAAACTAGGATTGCCTGATGGCTTGTTGTGAGGGGCTGTTTTAGGTTACATATTGGTTGGTTTCCTGGACTCCTGGATATCGGGCAAGTGTGGGTATCTGTGACGACAGATGAAGAAACTAATTTTCTCACTTTGCTAGTGTCATACCTTCACCTACCTATTCTCTCTACTCACTGGTGAATTGTAAGGAGCTGTGGGTGCTCGGGCACCGCAAATCCACCGCCGCAGCGCTCCGGCTTGGCTTTGGGCCGCAGCAGACGGCGGAGGTCAAGGTCACCGGCGCTGGGGCTGGAGCGGCGGTTTGTGGTGCCCAAACACCCACGGTTCCTACAATTACTCACCTATATCTCTATTTTGTATCTCTATTTGGAAACCACTTGAGTGTGTTCACTGTTCATTATAACCCGGTTTGAGGTGAAATGATGGTTTTGCATCTGTGATGCTGAACCAAGGGCCAAGAATGCCGCTGTTGCTTTAGATCTTCTGTTTGTCCCTAAGCAGCGTTTCATGGTATTTTCGACATCTCTACGTAGTCAGCGGAGGGCTACGTAGTGTCCGGCGATGTTGGCATGACTTATTTGCCACCTTCCTGAATCGATACTGAATGCTAACAGTTTGTATTTTTCCGCCCCCATTACCAACCTATGGATTCTCCCGGTCACCACCACAACCTCCCGTCACCCCCCCCCCCACCCCCCCCCCCCCCTTCCCTCTCCAGGTCACCACACAATATTGTCACCTTTTCCTCTGGACCCTCACCCCCCCCCCCTTCCGATCGGACACAGTCCCCCACTACACCCCCCCCCCCTCCAAACCTCGCCCCCTTCCCTTCCCCTGGTGCCACACGGCACACAATCTGTTCAGTGTCATATGACCTCACTCGGTGTCATATGTCACCTTCGTCGACCGCGTGGTTATTTCCCTCTGGCTAAAAATCCTTACACCCACACCACAGTGATGAGGTACAGGTTGGTTATTATCTCCCTCCAGGGATTAGAGCTGTGGGACGGTCAAACATGTGAGACATTCCTTGACGTTCCTTGGGAGTTGGGAAAGGTCAAAAGCGATATATTACCCTCGACGCCGTCCAGGCTGATCACGCAAGGGCTGTTAGATGCTGGGCTGGTTGAGCTCAAGATTTCTTCTTCTTTTTTTTTCTTGCTTCCTAGGCTGAGCTAGGATGCATCTTTTTTCTTTTTTGCATCTTGTATTTTGTCGTGAATTCTCTAGATTTTGTATCGAACTGTAAAAAAGCAAGCTGTTGCCGGGCTGTGTAGACTTAATGTGGAGTCGAGTCATGCTGGTCTTATCGAAGCTTTATGCGCTAATGTTCTGTCCTGTGCAAATCCGTAAATGTGGTCTGTCATATGGCAGCAATTACGATATTTTTAGTCGGCAGGGGAGTCGTTGGTGTATGACATTTGCTAATGGCAAGCCAGACAGCGTGTCAGCTACCGGCCTCGGCTGAACTTTGTAAAGATATAAATCAGTAGATGAGATCAGCTCAGCGCTATGTTGACTGCCGGGTCTGTGCAGTTTACCTATAACCTACATCAGCTCAGCAGTAGCAAACATTGGACATAAGAGGTGTAGAGGCGGTGCAATTCGCTGTGATCGTTAGAGAGACGGTTGCTAATGGATATAATGACTTTTGGTGTATTGGGCAGTGACCTGAAAAACGCTAGATTTTACGGTAATCTAAGCATCATGACATCCTATGATGTTGCCCGTGATCCTGCTGATTTGGTTCCGGTTAAGTAAGTGTGTGCTCGAGTTAAAGCCCATAAAGACACCCTCTATGGCCCAGTAATCCCCCTTAAGTACCTAATAATTCAGTCAAGAGTAAACGATCGATATAACGATTTAGGCCAGGCGCTGTCGTTGTCATAAGAAACACATCGAAAACAGCACTTGAGCTATCAGATAGTAAACAATACTCATGTCGTTTTTCATCAGTCAATACCGTGTGTAGTTACAGTACCTGCCAATTTCCCGTGTCCTAGCCAGGAACAGTGCCTAGCCTCACCATTAAGCTCGTACCAGTTGACTTACAGCACTGTCCCGTCGGCTGTACCATGACCCCCCTCTCCCCCCTCCCCGCGCCCGATCCGCCGACCGCGCGCCGGAAACAGTTCATTGTCATCGCTCGTGTGCCGCTGGCTAAGCCTGAGGGGAGGGGAGGGGTGGTTGTGTACCTTCTGAAGGTCGTATTGGTTGGGTCATGTTGGCTGTTTAAGAGGTTTTAATTAAAGACTTCCAGGAGAGCTAAAATGGACGTAGTGTCGTGGCTGATCGGTTTTGGGTGTGATGTGTCTCATCAGCACCCATTTGTGTTGGAAAATGAGATCCGTTGAACGCCTCTTCAAAGTGGAAAACGTCAAACGTGTCCGTCTCGATAGTCGATACCTCCATTCCCTCATACCCCGCCGCGACCCTGACACGGGCCACCATCACCAATCGCGCCGTGCGATATCCATGGCCGTATGTTCGAAATGTGCTGCACTATCGGCCGGCGCGACCTACACGGCCGGGGTTTACACTGCACAGATATGGGGGACGGGTCGGGGCTAATGTGGGCGACATTTGGCGGTGAAGGGCGGGCCTACCCAGCGATTTAAAGGAGGAAATGATTGTATGGCCGTTGATTGTGGGTGATTTTTAGGGGTTTGAGTTGAAAGACGTCGCACCTGCGTGTGATAAGGCGCTTGTGATTTGGGTTAAGTCGTGGCTTCAGCTGGATTGCTACCTGTTGTAAATCATACGTGCTGCGTAGTAAAAGTCTGCTCCACACTGTCCAGCGTGTTGTAAGCCTATTTTTTAGATAAGCTGGCTATGATACACGTCACAGCTCCAGTGCGTGCATTCTTTTATTTCCTGCACTCTTTTATTTCACTTTTGAAATCATTTATCAGTGTTGGGCGCCGATGGCCAGCGTAGTCCGGATGTTCTTAACCCGCGCCCCGTAGGGGGGGGGGCCGAAACGGCCCCCCCCTATCCTTTTCCGTCGATATCTCCTAAACGGCTGCAGATATCGCCACCAAACTTTCAGGACCCCTCCGGGCATCAATTTCACACATTGTGACCAAAAAATTTTCCAGAGGCTGTGATAGGTTGGCCACAAATGACGTCAGAATGACGTCATGCTCTGCCATTTTCGACCGAAAAAAGACCTTCCCGAGAAGAGCTGTCAGGCCTACAGCTTTGAAGATACAGAAAAATGATCGCAACATAAAAGGTGTAAAATTGACAGGGCTACAAAACTGCTATCTCGGATTTTGAAATTTTTGAGTTTTGACCCCCAAAAACCAAAAAAGCAATTTTTTGGAAATATTAGCAAAAAAAAAATCCAAAAAGTTTTTTGAGTTTCGAAAAACCGGAATATGTGATAGTACCTGCCGTCTTCTATCTACATACCAAATTTCAGATCGATATCTCGTTTTTTGGCCAAGTTATAGCGAAAAAACTGTTCAAAAATGATAACGTAAAATTTTCAAACTCAATTTTTGGCAATTCTAGACCACGTAGTGAGAAACAAAGACCACCATTGAACTCCCCGTGACGAGCTGCATCGAATCAATACCCATTTTATGCAAAAATATCAACTTTGAAATTTGACCTAATTTGACCTGATCTTGACCTGACCTTGACCTGAACTTCACCAAAACGTGACCTAAGCTGGCCCCAAAGGCTGCCTGACCCACATAATCGCATTTGTCATGTAAAATGGACCATAAAACATGTATCACACGACACTTTCATATTGTGATCCCAGTGACCTGACCTCTGTGACCTGACCTGGTATTAGTGACCTCAGATAGCAAAGTATTTGTTTGACGAACAATGTATCATTGATGTTTTTCAATAACTTACCAATTTACTCGATTTCACAAAACATTTCTTGAAATGCCTGTGAACGGTGAAAATCCGACCTTTGACCTGACCTGTGACGTCATCGGTTTGACCTAGGTCAATGAAATCTGGTCACAAGGTAGTTCCCTGGTGGGGCTATCGAACGCCGTTTGAATTTTGAAAATCGGCCGGTAAATTTCCGAGATCTTAGGGGGGCCGAAACTCTCTCTCTCTCTCTCTCTCTCTCTCTCTCTCTCTCTCTCTCTCTCTCTCTCTCTCTCTCTCTCTCTCTCTCTCTCTCTCTCTCTCTCTCTCTCTCTCTCTCTCTCTCTCTCTCCCTCTCCCTCTCCCTCTCCCTCTCCCTCTCCCTCTCCCTCTCCCTCTCCCTCTCCCTCTCCCTCTCCCTCTCCCTCTCCCTCTCCCTCTCCCTCTCCCTCTCCCTCTCCCTCTCCCTCCCCTTCCCTCCCCTCCCTCCCTCCCTCCCCTGGTCGAGATGTCTGTATCATCCTCCATGTCTGATATGACACATCACTACGTCAGTACCTTCAGTGACGTCACTGCACTCAGTGAGGTCGATCTCAGATCTCTGGTTGTCTGTCCCGCGTGCTGAACAATAAGCAGGTTTTCCATATCAGTGAGTCACCCCTGTGCCAGCTCCGTCGGGACCCCGGTCTGGTCTGGAATCCCGTTTGTCGGTTTTTAGCGGCGGTTTTAGGCGGCTGATAGTGCTGGAGTGGTGTGAGCTTTTGTCAGACCTGTCGCGCGGTGGTTTGGGTGGTTGTTTAGTGATAAAAGGTTACACGATATCGGTCCAGAGTGGCAGGTTTTGCAGGCTGCGAGGCCTGGTTTGCGCTGGCATAGATTTAGAGT